AGAAACTATAGGGGCCGGCCATGGCTATACCTGGAATTCGTAAATTTGAAACCTTATATTTACAATTTTTCAAATTTTGGACTTGTTTAAAACCTTTAACTTCCTTAAAACCCATCTAAATTGTGTTTTACATCTTAGTTCCACATGGCAAAACCATAAATATCATCATAGAGGGATGGATCTAGAACCTATAGGGGTCAGCCATGGCTATACCTGGAATTCGTAAATTTGAAACCTTATATTTACAATTTTTCAAATTTTGGACTTGTGTAAAACCTTAAACTTCCTTAAAACCCATCTAAATTATGTTTTACATCTTAGTTCCACATGGCAAAACCATAAATATCATCACAAAGGGATGGATCTAGAAACTATAGGGGTCAGCCATGGCTATACCTGGAATTCGTAAATTTGAAACCTTATATTTACAATTTTTCAAATTTTGGACTTGTTTAAAACCTTTAACTTCCTTAAAACCCATCTGAATTATGTTTTACATCTTAGTTTCACACTATAAAACCATAAATATCATCATAGAGGGATGAATCTAGAAATTATAAGGGTCAGCTTTAGTCATACACAAAATCCAGCTGTCAGAAATGTCAAATTTTTCGAAAAATCAACAATTTTTTTCTCAGCTCCTACCTCTTCCATGGCTTTGCATCTTTCAGGGTTACTAACCCTGCTATTGGGCACTTCACATGCATTTTTCCAGCCTCTTACAGTGTCTAATTGAAAAGTTAGAATCAAAATAGTAAGAAAATGAGTCACGAATTTGCCCCCTGGGGTACATACTTTGTACTAATTTTCAAATTCTTTAGGAGTTATCAGCATCAATTATACTGCGAGTGATTCATACATATAATATCTATGTATGTCACTTACAAACATCAAAATATCTAAGGTTATTTAGTGTGAACAATTTTTTTCCCAGGGTGGAGTGTTTTTGGGGGGTGGGGGGCTAACTCCTCAAAAAAAAGAACTTCCTACCACTCTGTGAAGCTATCACCTAGGTGGAAGTTTCATCCAAGACTCTCCCCTAACTGAAAATGCTGCCAAACCAACTATACACCATTTATTGAGAATTTTCCTCCTCGCCCCTTGAGTAGATCTAATAATCCATACAAATATGTAAAATCACACTAGCAACATGAAAAATGATGTCCCATAAAATCCCTCTGAACGCACGCCTAAACCCTCATTCTGACTGCACTAAAGATAAATTATATGAGATTTGTTACCATGGTAGATTATACATTTGTAATTAATTATTAATTATTACCAATCTTATTTTTAAAAATCAGTGAAATACACTATGGTTATGTGGACAGTCATTTTTGAATTAAATCACCAAGGAAAAAAGTAATCAAATACATATCCTCTAAATTGACAATGGAAGAAATTGACAATGGAAGAAATTGTAGAAGGAAGAAGTTGCCCAGCCTTTCAGTAGGTTCGCTTTAGGTGATATATTTAACTAGGATTTCTAGGTTCGCTTTAGGTAGTTCCCCATATAAAAACTCCATTGGTAGGTTCGCTTTAGGCGATGTTCAAATATGCTAATTAGGTCTAGGTTTACTTTAGGTGATCACCTAAAGTGAACCTATAACTACCTAAAACTACCTAAAACTACCTAAAGCGAACCTAGGTAGGTTCGCTTTAGGTAATTATAGGTTCGCTCTAGGTAATTATAGGTTCACTTTAGGTGGTCACCTAAAGCGAACCTGAATCTAATTAGCATATTTGAACATCGCCTAAAGTGAACCTAAAACTACCTAAAGCGAACCTACGTAGGTTCGCATTAGGTTAATACTTCCAAGGGCTGGGTTGGCTTTAGACCACCCAGCAGCTGGGTGACTCGATTTGTTGATTTGAACTGTTTATATATTTCTCACACATTTTGATGCATATATTCTCACGCAAGTACATTTATTTACAATGATGGTCCTAAGCTGGCCTATGGAGGTAGCCGGGTGTCTGGACCCTACAAACTTGTGAACTGTATAGGCTATATGTCAACTGTTTATTTATTTCTCACACATTTTGATGCTTAGTTTCTCACTCAGGTACATTTATTTAAAATTCCTCCTATTTTATAATTGCATGCTTTTATAACACTAACCTCTAAAAAGGGTTTGAAACCAGAGTATTGTTTATTTTTTGCCAGTTTTTTTCATATTTACATCTAAAAACACAACAGTTGATGTTTGATTTCATAAGAATAGTAAACATAGACCCATTACATTCATTTTAAAACATCATTTGTGAAGATTGGATAAAAATTGCCAAAGTTAGAGCAGTTTTAGTGAAAAATTGTGTGACAGATATATCCGTCATTCTGGGTATTCAATAATTCAAGAGGTTAAAATAATATATTGATTGATCATTTGTACACTTACTTACATGTACTTTGTAAATGAGCACTGATGTGATGGTCATTTCAGCATATTTCCCCATTTTCCTGGCTATTTCCAAATTTCCTGTCTAACTGATTTTAGTTTGAATATTATACCCACAATGCATTGATACTTCCTGCTATCAGCGCCCCTAGTGGCTGTGACAGAACTTCTGTTTTGTAGGTTTGCTTTAGGTAGCTTTAGGTAGCTTTGGGTTCGAACCTAAAACTACCTACAAGTTTGAAGTGTTTTAGGAAGATTTAAGATTTTTAGGTTCGCTTTAGGTAACTCTTGAAGAATGACTATGTTTTTTAGGTTCGCTTTGGGTTCGAACCTAAAACTACCTACAAGTTTTAAAGTGTTTTAGGTAGATTAGGTTCGAACCTAAAGCGAACCTACTTTTTGTAGGTTCGTTTAGGTAGTCAGCAAATTGTGGGATTCACTTTTAGGTTCGCTTTAGGTTCGAACCTACATCACCTACTGAAAGGCTGGGTGTCATCAAAGGGAGGCTGCAGTCATATTGTAGCCCATGCTGTTCAAAAACGAGGCCAATTTTTAGGCAGAAAACTGTACAATGTTGGGGTATGGTTTTCATTTAGGGTACACAAAAATAAGATGGTGTGAAAGTGTACATTCTAAGGGGGATTTATAATATCAAGGTTCAATTTTTGAGTGTAAGCCATTTAGAGGAAATTATGTTCCCTAGTGACAAATAAACAGTCCAACAAAAGGTTTCAACTTTGCAAGCTATTTCAGCTTAGCCTTTAGTATATATACATGTTACCAATTTATAAAAAGTCACATAAGGAATATATAAAATTGCGAATAAACGGAAAAACATGAAATCAGCATGTCATTTTGAAATGTATGTAATTATACACTCTAAATTGTATAATTATGACGGAGAATCAAAAATTTCATTTATATTTTGGAGAGAAAATGTGTGAAAAATGCCATGACCAAAGAGTTTTTTAAACATGGGTAATATTTCATTAATCTTTATTAATCTAGCCTTATATGGATATAATCCAAATAAATTTAGTATAGAGCACTTCTTGTCCAACATTTCAATAAAGTTCTTGAAGTGTATAAATTAGTCTTATATCCTATTCCATATTTATCCTTATGACACCAAAATAAGAGGGAGGATACCCAGAATTCATAACCAATGTTCATATTAAGATGATCATTTAGAAGTTCATATTTACATAGCGATAGGCTCATTTATGAATTCTGGGTATTTCATCCTACACCAGCACCCATCTTGGATCACCATGGCAACCACTTTATTTAGCATCACTCTCAACTCTGCGGTATGAAAGATGGAGTAGGTACTTTATTACTCACTAATTTATTATTCACTCCCTTCCTATGTTAAGATATATGAAAGTCAAATTGCCATTGAATTTGATATCATCTTAGATTCCCAAGATATGAAGTTCCCATATATAGTATATGATTTAAATGAGACTGGTTGGTGAGCATGAAGTTCAACTTGTAAATTAACTCGTTGAGATTGAAATAACACTCAATGGTCAACATGTATTTAGAGTTCTCTGTTGGCAAGTTGAAGTTTATCTGTATGCGCTGTATAGTTGTAAATGTACACTGTGTTCCACTTAAAATGCTATTAATGATTACAAATCCTATTGTTTTATGAACCTCCTTATTGACATTGGTTTCAAATTACCACTGGGTTATTTGCAAATACAATATTTTTCTTTTTTTCTCAGTTTTGGACATTTGAATATTTTTGAATATATTTTATATTCGTATAACCAGATAACCATGGATGTATTTCAGTTGTGTTATATTAGCAAATGTATTAATAACATGGATATTTCAATAATATGGATATTTCATTTGACTAATATGGATCCTTCACTAATGTGGATACAAGATTATCTGTTGACTTTATTTGACGATAAAGTAGAAGATTTATACTGATATTCTAGAAATATGAGGGCCATATGGTTTTCATCCTTCAACCTTTGGAGGTCCTTTGTGCTTTTCTAAAAGCATATTGTTTGCATTTGGGCTAGGAATTACACAATGTAAATACCACATTGTAGAATATGTCAAAGAAAGTTTGCTAAATCTAGAAATCTATTGAAATATGGAACTTTGGACTTGTTGGTTTTATCGATTTTGTCTGCATAAAGCTAATTTTATCAAAGATGTCCTATATTTGACATATCTTATGGTTTGTGTTATAAAATAATGAACAGAGTAGAAAATAGTTGGGAAATAAGGATTAAACTTAATAACCTTATTGTTAAACTCTAAATTGTATAGATATATCAAAAAATGTTGATTTTTCATTCGGTTTTTAGAGATTATTGCTGAAATAAGCATAATGAACATGGATTTTAAGGGCAAGTTTTGTGATTCATTCAAAATGGAAGCCATTTGAAGAATTGATTTGACCTTCACAAACATATCATAAAATGGAACTTAAAGTACTTTTTACTGGATCTAAAGAAAGTTACTATTGAAATTAATTGAAAGGAAATGTCATTTTGAGAATTTAAGGAGGAATATTCAATAAGTTATATGAACTATTATAACACCTTCCATACTTTGACTTAACAAAGATGTCGAAATTATGTTTCATACAAAATGCCTTCTCAGGCGTTTATTTGCTCTTCTTGAATACTGATTCTGCTTTAGCATCATACATCTTTATAATGCCTTTTATAGACAGTGTAACATCACAAACTGTTAAAATGCTGTGTGTAAATGTAAAAAATACAACTGAATACAGCAGTAAAATGGAGGAAATATTCTTCCCTCTTGATTGACAATAGCTAGTATCACATTCTAGAAACACATCACAATTTTGACATGTGTACTGTTGAAATGAACATTAATGAAATATTAATATCATGATTATGAATTTGTACAATTTACAAATATATTACAATTATTTACAAATGTACATATTTATAAAAATAATTCTTTGGATTTTCCTAGCTGTTTTTTGTATCATCCTCCATTATGCTGTTCGATTATCATAACGGAGAATGTGTTAGTCATGACAGGAATGATCCCTTCTATTTCCCCTTACTCCTTATTGCATGGTTTAATCAACCACTCTCTTATAATAACTGTTTAACAGCCTCCAGAATTGAAAACACAGAGTCCTATTTTATAAGTTATCGAAAAAGTCAGAAAATCGAAATTGTTTTTCCATATAAGAGAGCTGGCTTCGGGAGTAGGGTGGAGGAATTATCGTCCCCCAGACTTTTGTCCACATTGTTCTAACTATGGCTGATAATGCTCTAATCCTGTACATCAACGATTAAAGGAGCTGTATATTCACTATGGCGGATACCAAATGAGTAATGTGGACGCTCAGTTTTGTTAACACGGACCTGGAAGAACAAGAAAAAGTCACATAAATAATTGGAAAAGTCACATAAATAATTGGGAAGTCACATAAATTATTTATTCAATAATGGGTTATAGAAATAATCACCTTACAATAAGGCCCGATTGATTATCTGTATGTCAATAGTGCAACTTATAATAAGACCACGTTTCTACATGATACACATTTGTAATGTTGCAATGGTGTTCGCTGCTTGAATGTTTGCTGTATCACATATGTAGATGTATTACTATGGTGCAATAAATTATAAATTAGTTTTATCTTATCTAATCAATGATGGCATTAGACGAGTATGCAATTAACAGATTGTTTCAAAGAAATACAGATCGTAACTATGAAGCATAAACATTACAAAAGAGTAGCAGCAATAAAAATGAATTAAAATAAATAAGCAAACTTTGTTTTTTAACGAACACACAATTAGTCTCTAATCTATTTCTAATTAAAATAAGTAAAATCTGTAGAAATAAAAAGTGTAGGAGTTAAAAAGTGTAGGTTAAGAAATATCAAACAAAAAATTAAGTCAGGCATCTGTTGTTGAAGAAAAGTCACCATAGCAACCTGAAAATCTAAAAGAAAAACTAGGAGCCTAAGTATAACTTCTAATTCCCCATGGCTTAAGTAAACCACCACCATCAAAATAGTTAAGTAAGTAAACAAATAAGATCCTATCTACTAATTTAAAATAAAAGAAAAATATCTAAAAGGAAAAGCCAAAAATCTAGAAAAATATCTTCTATAATTTTTGACCTACGTTTTGTAATAAATTATAGGATTGGCTAATCGACTGGCTCAACGATTAAAGGAGCGGTGTATTGTGAATGGCGAATTCCAAATGTTGCTGCTGGCGCATTTCTTTTTGTTGCATATAATGTCTGTAATGAAAATACAATGTTATACACTCTGAACACAAAAACATCAAAATTAGAAACACATACATACTGGTGATCGGAATACAAACAGGCGATGATTTTACATGTGCTAATGTTAGATTTTTGAGCAACATGATCAACAAATTATTAAAAACTGATGTTAGGAATTCAATAAAAAACAAACAAAAACAAACACATTATTGGGTTATTTTTCAATAAATAATTGTAAAAGATATTTACCTTTTCTGGTGAATGTGCTCCTGGGCCTGGTTTTTGTGTACCATCCCCTGGCATGGGGTTTCTTGAGGTCATACTGTATAGAGGTGCCTTGTCTTTATAAGTTTGTGGAGTGGTGGTGTTATATGTTCCGGGTCCTGGAGTTCTTTGCATATCTTCGTGGAATGAACCAGTTTTGCTTCTACCAGTGAGAGAATAGCATGGGGCTTGTCGTTTGCCACTCTGCTTAGTTGAGCCTAACATATGGGGGAGTGAGTAACTATTGGCAGCTGGAAGTAAAGATAATATAAATTAAAATGTGAATTATTAGATATATTGTTATGTTATCTTATTGGGATATTAATATTGACAATGCATAGCAAGTATTGACTTAACATTCACCAATCAGGTCCATAGCAACCAACGTAAACAATACAAAGTAACAGGTATATAGGTGATATTTAAAATAAGAATAATTTTTCTTAAATATTTGATATAAAATAGTAATAGATTAATCATGTTCTTTACAAGGATTTAATGTTTAATTAGATAATTGTTTTTTTAAATCTGGAGGAGAAAATTTTTTATCATCAGAATCAAAGGACTATTTACCTGGTGTGTTGTCTGATTTCCTGTGTCTGTGGCGTGTTCCGAAACTGTATTCGGGGTGGTGTTTGTGTGCTGATGGTCCGACTTTCTCGGGGGAGTAAGCTCCTGGGCCTGGTGGCTTGAAATTGGCCATATCCTTTTGACGGGCATAGAGTGAGTAATGTGGGGTACCATCATTTCCGTCACGGTATGTTTTGGGGTTGGGGAAATAGCAAGGTCCTGGAGAGCACTCATCCTTGAATTTTCCGTGACGAACTCCAAATGGGTATGCTGGCTTCTTGGAATGGACACTCCTAGGGTCGTGGGTGTTCTGTCCCACAAGTCCAGGTAATCCATAACATGGCCCAGGGCTGCTGTACATAGCCGCGATGGGACCGCGAGGTTTTGTGTAGTTGTATACCATTTTGTATTTTTGTGTATTCCTTTTATAATCCTAGAGAAATCTGGAAAATATAAATTTATAACATTATTTTATGATTCATTTTCCCATAATTTAAAGAAATAATTGAACAAGTAAAATAAATAATTATAAATATTAATAACATGTAGCTTTCAGTACAATATATTGTCAATATTATTATACTTTTTAGAATATAACTAATATTAATTATATTTCAAGTTTCAAGCCATGTTGTTTTGTAGCAACCAACACAAGAAATTTTGTTTAGTTTTGGTTAAAACAGGTTAAAATCCCTCCTAAATTCAGCCAAATACTTTAATATTATAAAAGATTGTGTTGATTTATTCCAAAATATGATTTAGAATGTATTTAAAATTCTCAGAAGTAAGAAAAACTCAATGTTGATTTCTGTTGCTAACCAAAGTTTTGAAGTCCACACCTGAATTGTTAAAACTTTCAAATATGATTTTAAATTGATATAAATGTGATATTAGAACCATTAAACTTGATCAATTACCTTTACCTATGCTTTAGTATTTATATATCATCCCAAAAGATACTTTATCATCTTAATGTTGTTGAAGTTTCATAAAATTATTCTGAGAAAAATCTAACTGCTCTTACCTGAGTGAGTATCACCTATGAAGTGGCAATGCAAGAACACTGGTATAATATTAAGGTGTAAACAAAACAATGCTCTTGCTGCTAGGGAGTTAGTCATGTGACTATATCTTTGACCAATCAGAAAAGTTTATTGATAAAAATTATTGGCGGGAAACCTGAATTGGCACTATAGATGTCATTGCTGCATATCAACAATGTAAATATTTATGAAACAGGGCATGGTAACTCAGAATTGGTGGGGAATTTGATTGCATTTATTGATCATTAATGGGAGGTATTTCATTTCAGGTATATACTCAACTAAAAGGAAGTGGATGGATATCCAAGAAATCTGATCAGTAGGTGTATAAAATGTATGTTTTGTCGAAAAATATTATCAAAAATATGGAAAATAATAGCTTTGGGAACTTTTGGACATGGTTGTGAGGTAAACAAACATAAACTCGTACATTAACATTGAGATCTACTGTATTCTGTTAGAGCTTGTGTACTTAAGGTCATTTTGAATTTTGGTAGTAAGAATAGATGAAAGTTCACATTTATCGGAATCTCTGAATTTAATCAAATAAAATACTAAATGGGGTATATTTTAATTAAAGGATGATTCGTATGGTTTGGGGAGATCTAATTGAATTCAAAATCCTGTCTTGTGAAGGAAATTTTGATCTGATCAAATTGACTGTTATGTATTTGATTCATATTGTTTGTTGGGAATTGTTTTTCTTTTATTTCCTGGTGTTGCCACTTTTGTTGTCAGTGGAGTGAATGTTTTATTTACCGTAGACTTACCTAAAACACCAATAAACAAACAAAATTGTTTTTTATTTTTATTAAAAAGTGATCAGAATTCTGACCATTTATTCATTCATTTTATTTCAAATACTGTTTTATTGTGCATCCAATTTCCATTTTAAATTCTAAACATAATATTTCTAATAATTCTACATAACAAAAGCAGGAGCAAGTTTTATTAAGAATGCTGTTTTTATAATACACTAATTGTTTATTATTTTGAACATATACGTGATACATTACTGCAAGCACCAGTTAATATTTTGACTCGACAAAATCTTGCGCTGATTGAGGAATCGCCTCGAAAAAATCGCCTCGAAATGTAAAATGAGTATTTGTTATGCCATTTTCCCAATAATCCAGTCTAGACTAATAGCATATCAATAAAATAATTTTTGATATCTGAGTTATTAATGAGCACTATGTTATAAGTACTGCAACTGTACTTTGTACCTATGTACTTTTAGTAGTATATCAGAAGTAATATTGCCTAGGAAGAAATTTTACCTTAATTTTTTCTTCTGGTGACAAATGGTAAAATAGTGTCAGAGCACTTATTTGAAAATGTTCTGTTAACAAGATTTTCATTCATAATTCAAAGATTAAGGTAAAATATATTTCAATGATCTTGAATTGATTCAAGGTGAATTCATTATGACCAAATTACCATTTATCTTTTTAGTGGGCTTCTATTGCAAGAATATAATATTGTGTCATTGTAACTTTTTAGTTTAAGGAGTTAAGTCAATGCCAACGTCCATCAAACTTTTTCAATAGGTTGACCCCTTCACCCTCTATCTTCTACATTAAAAAACCTGGCAATACTCAATGGCAAAAACAAAATGAATACCCATAGACTACATATTGAAAATATCAACAATTTCTCATATCAAAATAAATCTCGAGCCCACCCCCCAAATTGATCACAAAAATTGTCGAACATTGGCATTGACCTTCAATAAATGTCACTCCCGATGGCACAAATCAGTTATGAAACTATTTCATCAAAGCTGCAATTAAATTGTTAGGAGCATCAAACTTTTAAATGATATTTTCCTTGTTTAAATGTGATAATTTACTGCAGAAAACAATATTCTTGATTCTTGCAATGGAATGCCTCCGGGACTTACATCCCCCTCTTTCTGATCTAAGCTAAGTTCATTATGATAAATGATAAGATGCCAAAAATGGCAAATAATATAATATAATGTGTATATAATATCATATAATTTGAAGCATTGTGTTATATTGCAATATATACATATAAAAAAGCTTGGCTTTCAACAAAAGTTAGATATAAGTAACAAATAATACTTTGACTGATTATGTAACAACTCAATATATAACACATGTCTAATTGTTTTGGCAAATCGAGACCAAATTCTACAATAATTGAAAAGCTTAATAAAAGGCTTAAAAATCTCTTGTGTGACTCAAAAAATCCTAAAGACTACATTATATATATTTGATAAGTTAATATCTTTTTTAAAAGTTCATCAATATCAATATTTTTGAAAAGTCTGAAATTATATTTTGAATGAATTAAAGTTTTTTTTGTTAAAGCACCATCAATATCTGAGTCTATTGCTGCACGTCAACAATTAAGGGAGCCAAATACTCGCTGTGGCGGATACCAAAGGAGAAGTGCGGTTTCTCATTTTTGTGTGCCCAGACCTGGAATTACAGAGAGTATAATGTTAAAATTATCTAATGAATTGTTTAATCATAAATTATAATCATAAAATTAACCTTAATGTTATGTATAACTTTATTACAGCATTAACTAAACTTGCTTATACTACTTCCTGAAAATTCAACAAAAATATGTACTCATGTATGTAATCATATACTACTTACTTATTCCATTTATATATATTTTTCACAGTAATCTTTTGTTTAGTTAGAAAGAATGCTGACAAAGTAGGGCTAGGTGAAAACATCACCTTTTTGAAAAACTTAAATGTGCATGCACCTTTTTTAATTCAGAACTTATCATGATACTAATGCCTCAGTCACATTTGATCTACAGCAATCGTATGGCAGCGGTAGCTTCCCAAAATCAAAAGAAATATGCAGCATAAAATACACGGATAGGCAGTAGATGTAGATTTTCTATATCGATTTTGTGAAGCTATGGCAACACAATGCCTGCCAAAGAGCAAATGTGACCGAGGCCTTACTTAGAGAACAATTTCTTCAAGAACTGTATCAAACTCTATTGTTGGTGCAATTTTTGTAGCCTGTTTTGAAATTGTTTTAAAATTGAGTATTTTAGGGTCAAAATATGCACCGAGCCCCTTTAAAAAGCCTTTAAATGTAAAAAGCCCCTTTAACTTTAAATATAAAAAGCTGATGTAAATGTAAAAAAGAGTGAGGTTAGCCTAATCACTACATAAATGTAAAGTTGTTACCAGACCACCAGCTATCTGCAAACTAAGCAGTTAAATCTACAGTAATATAACACAATATATATTAGACAAGGCATAAGCATGACAAAATGTCACCACCTGGTTCACTATTACAATTGGTTACAGATGCTGAATGCCAATCAACAATTGACATCAAATGCCAATCGGAATGAAAACTATGACAATATGTTACCATTCCAATAGCAATATATTACCATTTCTATAATAATATGTCACCATTTCTGTAACAATATGTCACCATTTCTTTAACAATATATCTCCAGTTCTATAACAATACGTCACAATTTCTATAACAATATGTCACCATTTCTATATAATATGTCACCATTTCTTGGTGGTGACATAACACATGAAGCACACAAACTAAAATCTATCAAAACCAACACCTATAAATCATACAAAAATGGTGCAAACATCAAAACATGTTTTCCCATCTTACATTTAATTTTAACAACCATGACGTTGATATTCACTTCATGAATTAATCTACATTTTCAACTATCAATTGGCTTGAATATTGCGAATGTTTTAATCCAAATGTAAACTCGGGTGCTGATCGCCTCGACTTGTAGAAGACCTGTTGAAAAGAATTATTGCATTAACATATTTAAATCTCTTGTCTGAATCAGGAGATGATGCATTCGGTATACTTCTCCTCCAGGGGCGGTGAATTCGTACGATCCGCGATCCAATCCGGATAAATTTTGTCATGGTAATGATGCATTGTGGGATTGATCCAAAAATTAATCAAAAAATCTGTGAATTCGTACGATCCTGAGATTAATCTCAGGATAAATCTCAATCCACCTCTTAAGGTGGATTACTTTTTGGAGAAATTTTATCCCGAATTCCAATGCAAATTGGATCAATCTTGGGGATTCCCCCTCATAATCCTTGGATCGTACGAATTCACCAAATATTTATCGAATTAGTAATCTAAGATTTATCCCAAAAGATAAAATTTATCCGGAATTGGATTGGGGATCGTACAAATCCACGGGCCCAGGAGACAATGCACTTGATATACATGTATTTAGCTTAAATTGCAAAATTAAAGTTTTCCTCTTTATGTTAGTTACAGTAGATATAATTAGGCAATTAATCAGTTTTACTTATAAATTGGTAATAATTATAATATAGATAAAATAAATACATTATATCAATACATCATAATAGACTAAATATCATATTTGATTGATCGAGACTTTGTGTTGCGTGTAGGCGGTTACGAGAAATATATTGCCCCATTGTTCAGGTTACATAATATTGTTCTTAGCCTTATTGGATTCAAGAGATAAATTGGAAAGATAAAGCAGTAATTGTAATATCTAGAATCAATATTCTGTATTATTCCCATTAAGGGGAGGCATCAAAAGTTCAATGTCTGATAGGAAACTAAATAAATCTAGTTTTGAGTTGGACCCCCCCCCCTCCCCCTCAAAACTAAATACAATGAAAGTTGATCGCGGACTTTTCACATGTTTTAGCGACTCGATTTGGACTTTCATGGGGGCAGTACTATAACTTATTTATGATTCTTAAAACATGTGCCAACAACAATAGGCATATTATTCCATGTTGCATGCATCTTGGTGAAGAAGGCATCTGGTAAAGTCTTTATTTTTAAACCATTCCAAGGCATTTTGAGTCGAAATTGCAAAAAAATTAAATGTTGAAATTTGTCGGATAGCAAACTGAAATAGCTTTGACCCCCTCCCCCCCAAACTAGATTTATTTAGTTTTCTATCAGACATTGATCTTTTGATGCCTCCCCTAAGCAATAGGGTAATGATTTCTATTGTTTCTGAACAGCTTCCAAAGTTCCCAGGCAAAATATTTCATGCACATTTCAGCTGACTCCTTTTTCATTTAATAGTGTTCTTACATGCAAATTGACTGATATGCAAACTTTATGAAGAAACTTTATTCCCAGGTACATAGTTAACTTGATTTCATGTGAGCTGATTCAATTTTGTATGATGAGGTTTGAAACTTTTTGTAGGGGTTTGTTTAAAATATATGGTTGTTAGGAAAGTGTACTTCAAAAATATTGATATAATACTTTGGTAACCTCAAGAGAGGCTATAATATGGTATTATCATTAAAAAATAAGGGACTGGAGAAAGATTTTGGAGGATGGATCGGTGGGGTTGGAGGATGAAGTCAGTGTGGCTGGAGGATGAAGTCTGTGGGGCTGGAGGATGGAATTTGTTGGGTTGGAGAATGAAGACTGTGGGGTTGGAGGATGAAGTCTTTGGGGTTGGAGGATGAAGTCTGTGGGGTTAGAGGATGAAGCCTTTGGGGTTGGAGGGTGGTGTCTGTGGGGTTGGAGGATGAAGTATGTGAGGTTGGAGGATGAAGTCTGTGGGGTTGGAGGATGAAGTCAGTGGGGGTGGAGGATGAAGTCTGTGGGGTTGGAGGACGAAGTCTGTGGGGTTGTCTGTGGGGTTGAAGGATGAAGTCTGTTGGGTTGGAGGACGAAGTCTGTGGGGTTGGAGGGTGAAGTCTGTGGGGTTGGAGGATGAAGTATGTGGGGTTGGAGGGTGAAGTATGTGGGGTTGGAGGGTGAAGTCTGTTGGGTTGGAGGATGAAGCCTGTGGGGTTGTAGGGTGAAGTCTGTGGGGTTGTAGGGTGAAGTCTGTGGGGTTGGAGGATGAAGTCTGTGGGGTTAGAGGATGAAGTCTTTGGGCTTGGAGGGTGGTGTCTGTGGGATTGGAGGATGAAGCCTTTGGGGTTGGAGGGTGGTGTCTGTGGGGTTGGAGGATGAAGTATGTGAGGTTGGAGGATGAAGTCTGTGAGGTTGGAGGAGGAATCTTTGGAGTTGGAGGATGAAGTCTGTGGGGTTGAAGGATGAAGTCAGTGAGGGTGGAGGATGAAGTCTGTGGGGTTGGAGGATGAAGTCTGTGGGGTTGGAGGATAGCGTCTATGGGGTTGGAGGATTGAGTCAGTGGGGTTGGAGGGTGGAATCTTTGGGGTAGGAGGATGAAATTTGTGGGGTTGGAGGATACAGTCTTTGGGGTTGGAAGATTGAGTCAGTGGGGTTGGAGGATGAAGTCTTTGGGGTTGGAGGATGGTGTCTGTGGGGTTGAAGGATGAAATCTGTGGGATTGAAGGATGGTGTGTATAGGGTTTGGTAGAGTGTGGGGGGTGAAGAGCAAAGATAGAGCTTAATATATTTTATTCCTAAAAATAATAAATAAAAGATATTATCAAAGTCACAAGTGTATATTTAATTTTCTAAAATTATAACTGACATTGTTGTTTAACATTTAAACCTACATAGTTCTATAAATAAACAAAAATACCTTTTCTGGTGAATGAGCTCCTGGACCTGGTTTTTGTGTGCTATCCCCTGGCATGGGGTTTCTTGAGGTCATGCTGTATAAAGGTGCCTTGTCTTTGTATACCCCTGGTGTGGTAGTCATGTATGTCCCAGGGCCTGGGGTGCTCTGTAGATCTTCATGGAATGAACCAGTTTTACTTCTGCCTGTGAGAGAATAGCATGGGGCTTGTCGTTTGCCACTCTGTTTAGTTGTGCCTAGCATTTGTGGGAGTGTGTAACTATTGGCAGCTGAAAATTAAGAAATTTTGTATAATGTATATTATTGTAATTATTAATATGAAAAAGTTTGCTAAGATTAAAAGTAAAATCTGAGATCATAGACATATATACTAAATTTATGATAATGTTTGTGATAATATTTTTTGGATAATATTAAATGTACCTGGGGTGTTGTCTGATTTCCTATGTCGATGACGAGTGCCGAAACTGTAAGCTGGATGATGCTTGTAGGCAGAGGCACCTGATGCCTCTGGGGAGTAAGCCCCTGGGCCTGGGGGTCGGAAATTTGTGGGGTCCTTTTGTCTACTATATAAAGAATAATGTGGAATGCCATCTTGACCGTCTCTATAGATTTTTGGGTCAGGGAAGTAACAAGGGCCTGGGGAACAATCATCCCTGAATTTACCATGACGAATTCCAAAGGCATATGCTGGGTTTTTGGGGTGAACACTTCTAGGGTCATGTGTTTTCTGACCCACAAGTCCTGGGAGTCCATAACAAGGCCCAGGGCTACTGTACATGGCCGCTATAGGACCCCTTGGCTTCGTGTACTGATAAACCATTTTGTTTGTCTAGTGATTTATCCTGGAATGAAAAAGTATGAAAATTATATGTAAATGAGTCTGGGTTGTATTGGTGATAGGGGTCTAGCAACAATGGAACTAGTCAAAATGTAAAGATATAAGGCCATCTTATTGTGAGTATAAATTCCCTGCAAGTTAAACAGTAATATAACAGTGATGAAAGCCCCCCCCCCCCCCATATGTAGAGGGACTGAAATTTAAAGCTTTCTTCTCTTAAAAGACCATTTGTATAAGAATAACTAAAGACACCTCCTCTTGTATAATGTATATATTATATTGAAGATCAAAATAATTATTTTTACAATTGAATTCCAACAATTTCTCCTCAAGTAAAAAACAACACTACATTAGATACTGACTAGCCTTCAAAAGCACATTCAAAATATATGTAGGTATCAAATTTCATGTTATTCACCTATGACCTTAAAGGCAGAATCAGATCTATAGGGGGTGACAAAATTACAAGCAACATGCATAATTGACCTACCAATCTATTCCTTACAATATCAAATACAATATCTCCCAAAAGATTCACAATATGTTATAAATTGGTGAAGTTATTAATGATTCAAAGTGCAAAATTGGGTGAAAAATGTTTAAATCCTCCCAAATAATAAGAATGGTAACCATTCTTATAGAAAAATAATACATTATTGTAAAAATCTTTAGTTTTCCTTGAATAAAGTATGCACTTTTGTGATTTTTAGAAAATAGACATGACAAGGAATGACATGAGCCAAAAATATTCTAAAATTAAAACAATTTTTTGTTTAGCCTGCTCGCTATCTCTGATTCTCTCTTTAACTCTCCTTATAAATTGCCTGTAAATGAACCAATATTAGAATACAATGCCAATAAATCAATATTGATTTAACCTATTATAAAGAAATCTACCCGAATCGTAATCGTATTTGATTTTCGATAAGATTACAATGCCAGACCATCCACTTGACAGAATACCTGAATGCTGTTTGTTGTCTGGCTACATAGCAACCAGAGTGTACCCTGGGAGCATGGAGTATTTGACTTTCTAGCACAGAGAATTTGCACTAAAAACCAAGTAAATGTAAAGTACACAGTACATGTATTGATCAGGAATTTTATGCGTACTCTTTATTGTACCACTTCATTGGTGGTAAACAAAATTCAATACAATACCACGGGTTAAATTGATAAACTAAGAACTAATGTCATGATAACTATGCACCATCAACAATAATAAAAGAAGAGGACATCAAAGAGGACAATTGGGATAAAAGAGGATACTTGGAATGCTTTACTTTTATTACAAATTGAAGAGTTCTAAAATAATGAGAAATGCCAAATGGTTCTATTATCACATGGATCATCCTAATTATTGAAGTTTTGTTTTCTGATGTATCAATTTTTTTACAGATTTCAGCCTTTTTCATAATTTTTTGCAGTAAAATATTTGTTAAGTTTATACTGCAATTATTCATTTACTGTACACCCCCCCCCCCCCTTCCCCCAACAAATAACCTGTGTGTCAATCATCTATAGACAAATGACTTCTTTTCTTTGTCTTCCTGGGCTTGGGTTTAAAGATACTTTTCCCCAGGTTAGACCATTTGAGGTTGGACAGAGTAAACATCAACATTCGTAATATACCCATTGTTTCAAAAACTAAAGGTGTTTGATGGAATATTTGAATCGTGAAATTCAAAGAAATAGGCTAGCTTTTGGAGGCTAAAGAGCAATACTCAATCTCGCAAAATTGGTGACAACCATCGAATCAGATCATTCAACCTATTGACAATACACGAGTATGTCCATCAAAGGGCAGAGAATAACACTGGTGGCCAGTGCCACATTGTCAAAATGTGATAAATATGACATAAAATGTCAGCCATTTTGAAAATCTCAGATCTTCATCATCTCTGATGATATATCAATAGGTTCGATACTGAGTCTTATTCAAAGCCTTTGTCGCATTGAAAACGTGCGTGGTGTATTTATAAGTCATGCAGAATAAACTTACCGAAATACTACACTAAATCTGCAATGGAATAACAGGATTATCGCACTGAATGACGTTTCTGGCAAACAGTGTCACCTGGTCGTCAAGATCAACTGGCCTCAATTGTAAATCTTGCACGCTGATTGGTTGATAAGTTTGTGACGTACATTTGGTTGCCAACATATGGGTAGCAGAAAACATTTATAAAGCAAAGTCATCTCACTGAATGTTTGGCATGTAATGTCAGATAATGTTATCGCTTATATTTAATTATTGAACATATTAGGTATATTACGTTTTCTATAATGCAATGTCCTATTTACCATTTTAACAAGATTTTTGTGTCTAACAAGTTCTGACTATTGTAATGGCTCATGGGTGGCTGGGAGTGGGGGGGGGGGGGGGGCTGAAAGTGGAAACTGCACATGGTATAGAATTAAATATAATATGAGAAGTGAGATCTTCTATGCTTGATGTAGACTAGATAAGTACTGACATAGTATCATTTCTGTCATCATTACACTTTTACTTAAATTAGGCCTAGCGCTAGAGCTTTCAATTCTAAAAAATCTGGGAAAAGGGGGGGGGCGGTCGCCCCCAACGCCCTCCCCCTTCCGACGCCAATGTGTATAGATATTTTAGTTGTAATACTAGAATGGGTATTAATCTACAGCTTTTGGGCCTGCTTTCTCATGAATTATTCATTGCGCTCTGCCTTCCTTAACAAGAATTTTACAGCATATGCTGACCTGATTGTTGTTATTTATTATATTCATAAAATTAACAAAACATAATGTTATGTGTAAATCAACTGATTTATTGTATTATAAATTATATTTTTTATTCAATATGTACATATTCAGTCAATAATAGATTATACAATTTAAATTCAATAACCAATTCTATATTTCCTTTTAGGAAAAACTAAAATATGTGATGTCATGATGATGCATTTAAAATATTAAGTGTGTATGCTCTACCTTATCATTCAATATATGATAATGCGCACTCTATTTCAAGAGCACTGTATAATTAAAGATAATGATATGAACTTTCAGAAAAGTTTTGTAGGCCTATATGACGTGACAGTACAATTCAAAATATGCTTGAGAAGTACACCTAAACGTGAAGTAGTACAATACAATTGAAGAATTAATGATTACTGCAATTTTGAACCATTATATGGTATATAATACATGTAATATATTAATCATTACTGTAAATTGCCCTAATTTGGCACCCGCTTTAATTTTGTGATTCACCAGTTGTGTACCATCTCCATAGATAAAAAATAGCATACACTAAAGTAAAGCAATTTACAGTTCTGATACACAATAAGCAATAAAAAATTGAAAATTGATGGTAAAACTTGAAGAACACCCCCCTCCCCTCCCCCATAAATAATGTTAACAAAAATGTTAAACATGTTTAATGGATTTCTTGATTGTATAAAAATCTTGATCATTCAATTCACAATTTACACATAAAACTGTGTTAAACCTTATATACAATTTGATGAGGATCATAAATATATTATATATTTTACATAAAATACTCTCATCCCTACAATCAACTACAAAGCTAAGCATATATACAAATCGAATACCATAATATTGAGCAACACGCAAAGAACATATTTTCCGACAAAAGCATGATCGAGATCCATAAAACTGCCAATAAAAACTGAATTGATATATTCCATGATATGTTAGGCTATTCAATAGTAGATGGATAAAGAAGATTGTAAATAATTTACAAATCATTACCCTCTTGTTCTTTAAATGTCACGGCAAGCATTTTCCTGTCTAGAGGAAATTAGTCGTCAATTATCAAACCACAATGGTCACTCTGACTTGCCCCCCCCCTCTCCATCCAGTCCCGTAAAAACAAACTAACATTGCTTTTCTGCATAGTTAGAAAATAGTGTTATTAACCATATAAAACTTTTTAATAGAAATACCTGTTAATCTCCTCTCAAATTAAACTGGGGCTTAGGGTACTAATTGTTTTTTGATGAAATTCTTTTTTATTTTAATTTTCCCAAAGAGAGGGAGAAAATAGTGGGGAGGGGGGGGGGTGGTTATTGGGAGGGGATGGATGAGTTAAAGAAAAACTTGAGGCAAAGGAGCAGCATTTAGATGACCAATGCCTACAGTACAAAAATGATAAATCTAAGGCATCATTGCTACCTGCCGTAATAAACATTTCTAATACACATTATCTGTGTTAATTAATTGACCATGGACATGCATTTACGAAGTTTACCATAGCAACCAAACTAAACAAACCATAAGCACAATATTTTTCAGATATATTACAACAAATTCCACTAAAATATCAAATTAATTATACCTGTATAGAATGTTACATTGCTATCTGGCAGCTACCTTTACAAATGAGTAAATTTATTACATCAATTAGAGAAAACAACACGGGGATAAACCATGACTTTATTAAGTTACTTATGGAGCTGTCACGGTCATTTAGGCCATGTGGGCTCACCATTCGCCACTTTGTGAATAATTTTGGGCAGATGGCAGGGCACGTCATCGATACAAAGTGAGCAAAACAATTAGTTTTACAGCGATGTTCCCCTAACACAAAATCCAAAAATTGATTAAAAAATCAATGCTCAAAATTAGCAACATGGCGGCGACTGGAGCCCACATACCTAATGTGACAGCTACTGTATATTTACTCAATACTTTTTACCATCTACAACGATCACGGTCTTCTTTAAATGTTACAGATAAGAAAACTTAAATTTAAGAAATAAATTTGCAAGAAGAATGTGTATCAACAAACCGAAAATGTTCTCCCAAATATTTTAAAATTAGAAGTGATCCCCCATAAAAAAATTCCTAAACTTTACACATTTTGATAAAAAAATATCTCAAAATTTCACGGAAATATATTTTTGATGGAATGCATACACATTTTCAATAGGGTGGGATGTAATTTTCAGATTTCCAACTGGCTTATGCATCAGATTGCATTTATGTGGTTTGGATCACTGATAAGTGTGACCATATAGCTTAAGGGACTGCAAATAACATGATGAAGCCAAGGCTTTATTCTCAGGATGTAACATAAAGTCAATATAGGCTTAAAGCAATCAATAGCTGTAGCATTGTCTTTTGCATGATAAAAAATCCCTAGAGGCTCTAGTTCTATGTGAAATATTCTTGTTGACACAGATCAGCTAAAACATTCCCTAGAAACAAGTGTACACTCCCCCTAAAATATTTGGCAATCAAAACTCTCCTATTTATCCAGATGTCACTGCTTGTTGATTTTTGGTGATTTTTAAATATTCATCAATTTTGTCGGAATCTATTTTGTCACTTCCTAGTTGTGATTACAAATGTGTGATGATTTGTTACAGAACATGTACATCAGTCATAAAAAAGAATGGTGACTATAACAATATATGACACAAGGTATTGACATGCAAAATGTCACCACCTGCCATTGGTTACAGACCCAAACCACTGAACACCATCCCCAAAAAAGTTGGAGACTATAACAATACAGCATCACACATAGAATCAAACATAAACAGACTTTAACCCACTATGCAATCAGGAATAAGAGTTGCTAAACTTTTTGAGGTGAGTGTAATACTTTTACATATATAGCTCTGAATTGTTTAAACAAAAATATGAGAGTACTGGCCTAGTCACATAGCCCGGCCGATGTCCGGCATCGGTAGAGCTCGGTGGATTTTTTTGGTGCCACCGAGCTCTCCTCATCGGAAGCAGAGCTCGGTGACATGAACGGACTCCGTCCGGACATCTTCAGGCGACCGACCGAACACCGGCCGGTGACCGTACGGAGTCTGTCTCAAAATGGTAGTTTTTTTCTGCCGATGTGGCAGCAACTACCGGCCGGAGGTCGGCCGGACATCGGAAGGAATACGGCCGGTACCCGAGCAGGTAACAGGACACCGTGCGATCGCCGGCCGGGTTGTTAACAGGCTTTGAACAGTGACCGGCCGATGCTCTGTCCCACATCGGCCGGAGTTCGGTCGGAGCTCGGCCGCTGTCCGTTAAAAAACCTCGTCCTCTGGTTGTCTCAGATGCACGGGACACCGGCCGATACTCGGCCGTGCACCGGCCGACGTGTTTTCCGATGTGGTTACGATGGGGCTGCGATGACATGATGAGGGAGCTCGGTGAGAGCCCTGTGAAATTTAACTCCGAAGTTAAAATTTCACCGAGCTACCACCGATGCGGTTTTAAGCAACAAACGCCACGGATGTCCGGCCGGTGTTCGGCCGAGTTCGGTGAAAATTGCATCGCTGGCTCATCGTAACCTCATCGGCCGGGCTATGTGACTAGGCCATACCAAGCAAATGGGAATTATACTGTACTCCAGGTATTTTTTGCGTGCGATTTAGTTTCGAGATTTACACGATTGTGTTAAAATTGCGAAAATTAATTGTCGTGAAGTTTGCCAATTAAAGGCTGAGGTGCAACATTTCGTTGACTAAGATCTAGAAAATAAGAAATTGTAAATATTATCCAAATATGACATTGGGTAGATGTAATTAATGTAGATAGGGTAAATTAGTTTACAGAGCTTGAGGATTCAGAAAATAATGGAGTTTAAACTTTTGAAATCCGCGAAATTTAATGGCCGCGAAATTGGCATTTTTAAAAATTCGCAAAATTAAAACTCGCAAAATAAACCGGGAGTACAGTATTACAAATTGAACGTATACACCTGGTGATTGAACTCACATGTTAACTCATATTACTGGAAGGCAAAACACTAGAACATGGTAACATTTCTCTCAGATGAACACTGCTAAATGTGAACACTTTTTTGGTCCAATATTTTGAATTTGTGACAAATTGCCACTTTAAAAACATTGAAACGTTGGTTGAAGAAAAAAGTTGTAAAATACTGCCATCTTTATTGACAACGAAGTAACAAAAATATATAATCTGGATTTCTTTAGTTCATATACCAATGACTAACAAGCAGACACTTAATGAACGAATAAATCATTTTGTATATCCCTTTTCACACCCAATACTTTTTTGGGAGCATAAGTTTTCTAGATCTCATGATTGATGATTGCTACTCTAACTTGGGTTAATTTTGCAAAGTTTCAGATTTTTGACATTTGGCAGCTAATTAATTTGGTTCATTTGGGCTTAGTTCAATAACAATCTTTATTCTTTTCAGAGTTAGATCATACTTTTTAGTGATAATGTCCCAGAGTACAATAAATTCAAACGTTATTGATTTCAACATCGGCTGCCATGTCAGCTTTATGACCGATCATCACTTTTTCCCCAAAAATTTACCTGGCTTTGTTCTCAGCCCATGATTTCCCGATATTGCTTGATGTAAAAAAGAACAAATTCCAGAGGATTTATCTGTGGTGTCGATGTAAATTGCCAAATATTAAGCGAGTGAAAATAACCCAAGTTACAGTATACTGTTAATATTGCAATAATATAATACAGAGAAATGCTTATTAAATTAATTTTTTGATTAATTTTGCTATGTACTTTGATAGCTTCTCACTTCCTGATGACAGCACCTCAAGTGCATCCAATGCAACAAAGAAGCTTTATCTTCCAATTTTTGTTTCCAGGCACAAAAAGAAAATCATCTCAATGATTCTTCATGCACTTTATCCTGTCATCCATATTTTCTCTCTAACTTGTCTCCAATAAGAACATTTGGTGTATCCAAGCCAATCAGGAGCATAAATGCATCTAACCACACCTATACTTCACACAACACATTATTATATCTCACTACACCATCCCCGCGAAATTTTCATTATAGATTTCCGGATGATTTTTCTTCAGCAATTTTAATCGTTCCCGTTTCTCCTTGAGAGGAATTTTAGTATCGTCCAGTACAGTATTGATGAGGTCACAGATGGCTTCGTTGGTGTAGTTCTCTTGTTGTTCCTTGTATTGCTCCATGGTGACCCGCTCACAATAGGCCGTCACTGGAAACAAGAATAAGAGCTTGTAAATGGCAATATGAGCTTCATTGCAAATATAGGAGCCTTATTACAATTGTGTTTCACAATATGAGCTTCATTGCAAATATAGGAGCCTTATTACAATTGTATTTCATAATATGAGCTTCATTGCAAATATAGGAGCTTTATTACAATTGTATTTCATAATATGAGCTTCATTGCAAATATAGGAGCTTTATTACAGTAAGCTGAAAGCAGATATCATCACAAGCAAGGTATACATATACATCTAATAAACATATCTTACTCATATCATATGGATATATGGTCTGATAAATGATTTGAAATAAATATCATACGCCACTTATCTCTAAAATAATATCACTGGCTGTCATTACAGGTCACACAATATTCACGGGATATACATTACTGAGTGAGAATTCTATTTGTTCAACCTCAAAATGCAGGTTTTCCAAAATATCATACATTTAATTCATAAATGAAAAAAGAGTGAAATCAGCAAGGAATAGTGTAATTAGATGTATTGCCACACTCTAAATTGTATAAAATAGTCCAAAAATCTGGTCATTCCAATTTTTAAAGGAAATAGAGTGGAATAAGCATGAGCACAGAAAATAAGTGGATATGTTAGAAAACCTGCATTAAAACAGAGGCTTGTTTTTATAGTGTATATTTAATATGTAAGAATTATGAAATAAATAAAAATTGAATTGATTTTAAATATCTGCATTTGGAGTGAGAAATATTACACATATAAAAGTTATCCAAACAAATGTTATTAAGTATACATGCATTTAGCAAAATACCATGCCTATAAAGACAAAATGATACATAACTTAATCTAAAGAGACAGTTCCAACTAATCATGTTAATCAAAAATATATTTAAAATTAAGAGCTGAGAATTCTTAACTATACATGTAAGCAAGAAGTGCAATCCAAGTATATTTTTCAGTTTCAAGTATATTTTTCAGTTTGAAGTATGTTTTTCAGTTTCAAGTATATTTTTCATTCTTGGATTGCAAGAAATTTGGTAAAGAAGTGATTAATTTTAATCGTAAGATGTCATTTCCAGGTAAGATTCACCTGATCCACCTGATTAAATGAATTACAGATCCACAAAGAGAAAGAGGAGGAAAGAACAAACTACTATGAACAATAGACATACATGCAAGCATATTTTTCTCAAAGATTTTTGAGGCATATCCTTATGGTGATATGCAATGCTATCAAATCAAAAGTCAATCAATCAATCAATATATTATGAAATTTGAAAGATACACATTAGATTAGACAGAGATACTGAAAAGAGAATTTGGCAGCCATCCTATCATAGAGAGTAAAGAAAAGGCCAATGCTGTTCATTCCTCGAAGCAAAATTTAATCTAATAAATCTAAATATGATTATTTGACATTACAATTTAGAGTGCTTCCATTTAGAATTTCCACCTCCCTTGCTGATCCTACTATATTTTACTGTATGACATTTCAAAACAAGGCATTAACATGACAAAATGTCACCACCTAGTTGCTCACAATATTACAAGTTTAATCTTAGTCAGATTTGATCTTCTGAGAACTTGTAGATGATTTTAAAAAATGTTTAATTTGAAACAAGTTGAAAAAAGACCTTTTTGTCCTTTTTTACCTTGAGAAGGTTAGTGAAGGTCAAGTCTTAAATCTTAAAATCAGATTTTGTAGATGATTTTGAAAATATTTATAAATTTGAACCAAGTTGAAAAAAGACCTTTTTGACCTTTTTCGACCTTGAGAGTGTCATTGAATGTCGTAATTTGAACTTCTGAGAACTTGCAGATAATTTCGAAAAAATTGGTCTATATGAAGCAAGTTGAGAAAAGATCTTGAGAAGGTCATCGAAGGTCAAATTTCAAATCTAAAGTCAGATTTGAACTTCTGAGAACTTGTAAATGATTTTGAAAAAATTTGAAGTCAGTCCAAACAGTATTTGCCATCTGCCAACCTCCACCCACTGTCACAAAAAATGGGGACCATAACAATATGTTACCACTTTCTGGTGGTGACATAACAAAATGTTCCATGGTCCTGTGGTTTTGGATTGCGCTGACAATACCTGAACAACATCTGAATGATGGTGGAATATGGGGTAAATTGTTTCTATGTATGATATATCATTTTTTCAGATGCTGGGGTTTTCTTTCATCATGACTGGTTGTTTATTTTCTACAATTTTTCCCCTTTTAGCACTTGTATTGAACACAAAGCCCTGTTGAAAAAGCTGAAAGGTCCCAAAAGTTAAAAAACGAATATGCTTGATTAGACAGATAGCCAAAAGAAGACAGAATTAGAATTATCAAAAATTATATATGGAGAATTATCTTTCAGCTTACTGTCTATCACTGACAGAGTATCATCATATCTCCAGTCACTCAAATCTGCATCACTCTCTTCTAGAAGCCAAAATTCAGAAGAAAGTGTAAGTAGTGAGGAACATGTGTATTTGAGCACGTTTTGATGGATAAAATTGAAAATAATTGGCCCAGATAACAATTTGAATATGTGCAATTAAAAGTGAACACGTTTTGAAAAGTCAAAAAGGCAGGAATACAAAAGATTGAGAAACAGTTGTATTTTTTGAAAAAAAGATATGAGATGTCTTATAAAATTTAATATGGAAGTAAGAGAGTAATAAATTTTTTCCAATTATTGAATTACACGTATAGAACTTTTTCATGATATAAAGTGAGAACTCTTGGCATTTTAGAAAATATCCTGCTTGCAGCGAGAAGACGGACCGGTTCGGGGCAATCTGCTTGCAACGAGAAGACGGACCGGTTCGGGGCAATAGCTGATGAAATTCTTTGTCACAAAGTTTGGCATTTTTTATAAAATCAAACGCGCGTCATTGAAACTCACAAGATGTAAATAGCATGTCATTTACATCATACCTTGATGGGGAAAAATAGATCTTATATGTTAGAAGTACTAAATAAAAGTTATCGTGAAAATGAGACAGTCGTTCTCGAGAGAAAAGAGCATAAATGCGCATTAAGAGAGTTTTGGTCCGTTTAAAAATCTGTAAAAAATTGGGGTACTTAAAAGCATCGGGAGGCATCATATATTTCAAATTAGACACGAGGAAGTCAATATTGAGCAAGTTATGGCTATTTTAAATTCAAATAAAACCGTTAACCCGTACCGGTCCAGCTTTTGACCCAATTTTGGTCAATTTTCGTTAGCTGCGTATACCAAGGGTGAAATATAGGCATGAAAAGGAATGCTTGAGTATTTTCCCCCTCAACTCATCTTGCTGCTCATTTGCTTTTATAAAGTGCAACAGTAATAATGAAAAATTTGAAGAAAAAATTCCCACTAGATTTTATGAAACCACAGGAGTTTAAATTGCCTTACTGCAAGTACTGAACTGAAGCTGAAAAACTCAAGACTTCATTTTTACCCACCTTCAACTGTACAAAGACGTCCCTTTTTCAGACACTCTAATCGATTGGTGACAATTTGTTGAATATCTTCTGGGACTTTGAACACCTCTGGGTAGTGGTCAATGATAAACATGACAAGTTTTGATGCCTGGCTCGCTGATAACATTGTATTATGGAGAATTACATCAGTGAATCTGTGTTGAATCTCAGCTCTGTTACTGCCCTGAAAGGGAAGATATGAAGGTTATGTAATGTGGGGATTCAGGATATCAGTTACAGTTATATCCTTATAAATATGACAAGTTTTGAGGTCTGGCTTGCTGATAACATTGTATTATGTAGGATTACATCAGTGAATCTGTGTTGAATCTCAGCTCTGTTACTGCCCTGAAAGGGAAGAATATGAAGTTTATGTAATGGGGGGTTCAGGATATCAGTTATATCCTTAAAAATCTGACAAGTTTTGATGCCTGGCTCTCTGATAACATTGTATTATGTAGAATTACATCAGTGACTCTGTGTTGAATCTCAGCTCTGTTACTGCCCTGAAAGGGAACAATATGAAGGTTATGTAATGGGGGGTTCAGGATATCAGTTATATCCTTAAAAATATGACAAGTTTTGATGCCTGGCTTGCTGATAACATTGTATTATGTAGAATCACATCTGCAAATCTGTGTTGAATCTCAGCTCTGTTACTGCCCTGAAAGGGTAGGATATGAAGGTTATGTAATAGGGGGTTTAAGATATCAGTTATATCTTCATAAATACAAAACATACAGGTGTATCTCAATTAGACTACTGTTTATTTTGAGGTTTAAGTATGATCAGTTCCTGATATAAATTCAAAGATCTTGATTTAATAATAGCCAAGTTTTAAATTATCAAAAAAGGAATGACAAAAGATTTATTTGATATAAAATAGCACACGTTGTATGTGTGATTATACCAAATTTTACAAAGATACAAGAATTTTGTCATGTTGCAACATAATTAACAGACACCTATCACATTAAAATCTCTAAATTGACCAGAATTGCAATTACACTTAATAGCACAAGACCTACCACAATGTCTCCTATATGTACTGCAGATTCACTTATTGCTTCGTGCAGGAACTTCACCAGGGCTTCCAGTTCGTCTCGCTTGCTTTGGGGCAACAACAACATACTCAATTGCACTGCTTTAACTGCTACATCCAATCGTCCTTGCATTAAAAGATTAAAAATTGCAACGTGTAGGTCCATAAAACGATCCGATATCAGCGGACTTCGTTTTTTATTTTTTGTGTAAACGTCTACGATTTCTTGATAAAGAGCCTTTTTGCGAAGTTTTGAGGAGCTTTCGCAGGACTTGTGGCGACTCCTGGTGGCATAAATAACACTCATTTTATCGGGCTGTAGCTCCAAGCATTCTGTCGCAGCAGTTAACCATGGGTCAGGTTTCCTGGAATGACAAAATTTTAATGAACTTCCGATTGCTTATCATAGTAGGTCACGAATCATTTGTCAGGAATTCTGATTAAATATCATTGAATATTAAAAAAAATATGACAGTTTTATTATCTCATAGTATAGTACATGACAGTAATTACATTTAAAATGCTTTTTCATGCCTTCTTCAGTTTAAAAGCAACTAAAAGCTGCACCCAGATGCAGAGCTTCACCAAGATGAGGAGTTTCACCCAGATGAGAAATGCACCCACATGAAAAACTGCAATCCGAGGAGAAACTGTACTGAGAAGAGAAAAATTACCTTGCACCAATTTGAAACTGTTTTTGCAGTTGAAATTTGGGAAAAATGTGAAAACATTGATTTTGCTATCTTTCTGCCATTAGATGTGAAAAGACAGGAGATTAAGAATAAGATGGACATTAACTCCTGTATATTGTCAGACACACCATACAGATCTATAAAACAAATTGGACTAAGATTAACAAAATACTCTTTGGCTTGTATGCATGTGTACACATCAATTTTAATTTCAACAAAATGAATTTAAAATGTTATGAAAGCTTACACAAGGTCTGGACCACTTAGCACCGTTTCTTTTATCAAAAATCCTGACTCTAACCCCAGCTGTAGATTTGAGATGACCAAATTTGGCAAGTTTGGGCTGACGTCATCAAGATCTGAACTTAAAATTGTGTCCAATAGAGGAAGCTCTATTAAAGTGAGAAGTTTGTTTAATGCCACTTCTCGCCAGATCTCATCGGCAACTGAAATAAACAAGGTTGGTATACACTTTAACATGTTATATTTATACTCTCTAGCAAGCAAATTAATAACCAAAGAGTAACACTTAAAAGGTAGCTTTAACTTTGCTCCCAATTTTGATCCAAATCAAATATGTATATCAACAATTACAGATATCTTAGAGTTATAAAGATAAAGATAATGATTCTAACAGATTATTTGCAACTACATAGAATTACCTGCTTTGGGGGTATCACAATCATCAAATGACATGTCCAATCTTCGTTTCCTCAAAGACCTATTTAGGCGATCTGATATATTAATACGATCAGCAAGGGGGGTGCGTGGTTTCCCCGTCCTCATGGATTTAAATTCATGAGCCTGACGCTGCCGTGAAAAAGTCCCCTTACTTAAAGCTGGAGATATAGTTCTTTTTAATAAATCCATGCTACTTCTGCGTTTCCATGTTTCTGAAGTATTCATAAGTTCTTGGATGATCTGGCCTTTATTGTTGAGAAGGATAGGGTTGCTTATGACATTATCACCGTCCAGAAGGTCAGGTTCAAAAACTTTGTTGATCCTGCAAATAATGTCCAAAGTTCGAGAATTAAGAGGGCAGTACAGTGTTGTTTCAATGTCAAAGGGTTAACACATACAGTAAACAGACATAGAAAGTGTTATTCATAGAAAATTTAAGACTGGCAACAACTTCTTGCACAATTTATATTTCTAGACATTTTGTTTTGATTATTTGCTTGATTTACAACTTAAAAAGTCATGCATTTAAGTAAAAATACTTTTTAAGACGGCTCAAATTTTTACCATTAAGCACTTCTTTTATGAACATTCGCCAAAAGTTAATCAAAACAGATCTATCCAGGTGTTAAACATAAACCATCTGCAAACCACCAAAAAGTCTACTTTATCCCCCCTCCCACTGTATAGTTTTGTTACATTAAAGTCAGTGGGACTCAGTGGGTTTCACTGTTACAGTTGCACAACTCCCTCAAACTTTTTGGAGGATTCTGCAATCTTTAAAAAAAACATTTTCAAATTTGGTAATGTAGTAATACGAGGGGTGATCCAAAAGTCTTGGACGCCCTTGCTCTAATTTTGTTGGTTTTTGATAAAATTACTTTAAACTTTCCAATAATAAAGACCAACAACCTAACTACTTTGTGTATTAATTTCATGGAGAAATGATATGTTTTATGTAGTTTTCTAGACAGTTTTTAACATGGGGACCCTGCCATCCGGAACGGTATTCACACATGACAACTTTCAACCTTAAATGTTGCCGCCATTTGACTTGTTTCGCAAGTCTTGACCACTGTCTTTCTTTGAATTGTGAATGTTAAACCATGTTAGTTTACTTCCTTTCTTACTAGGGAACCAATTAATTGTGTTTTAATTATAATGTTACATATGACAATGATCATATATGTCAAATTCTATGAAAATGACATCAGACAAGCAACCCTCTTTCTGGTATGATTTTTGCTCCAAAATGGCTGCTGAAATGCACGCAGCTATCTGACTCAGCAGCTGGGCCAGATAATTTTAAACCTATTGTTATAAAGGAATGCAGTGAATTTCTAGGCTTTCCAATTATGCATGTTATTAACCTTTCATTTTCATCTGGAGTATTTCCAGATAAACTTAAATTCGCAAAAGTAATTCCAATCCACAAAAAAGACAGAACAGATGTATTTAACCATTATAGACCTATCTCTCTCTTATCAGTCTTTTCAAAAATCTTTGAGAAATGTATATATATTCGAACTTTTGATTTCCTTGAAAAACAAAATGTATTTTATGCCCACCAATACGGATTTAAGAAAAATCACTCAACTTTCATGGCACTTTTAAAATTTGTTGAAACCGTACGACTTGCTATTGATAAAAAGAAACTTTGTTTAGGAATTATGTGTGACCTTTCAAAAGCGTTTGATACTTTAAACCATACTATTCTTTTGAAAAAACTAGATCACTATGGCATAAGAGGTACTGCTCTCAAATGGTTCCAAAGTTATCTCTCAGATCGATCTCAAATTGTAGAAATTGATGATACAACCTCAGATATAGCCAATTTTACCTGTGGAGTGCCTCAAGGCACAATACTGGGCCCATTACTTTTTATTATTTACATTAACGATATCTACAAATGTTCAGAGAAAGCAGAAATGTTCCTTTACGCAGATGACACAAATATTCTCTTTTCTGGTGATAATCTTGATGAAATCAATTCTACTGCAAATAAAGAGCTATCTATTATAAATGAATGGTTTAAATGCAACAAAGTCGCTCTCAATCCAAACAAAACCAACTTCATTATTTTCAAAACTGCTCAAAAAGAAATAGATTACAGCAAAGTCAATCTCACAATGAATAACGTCCCACTTGAAAGAAAATCAGTTTGTAATTTCCTCGGAACACTTATTGATGAACATTTATCATGGAAAGCCCACATTAACTATGTTGAAACGAAGATCTCAAAGACTTTGGGAGTTATTCACAGAGTCAAACACCTTTTAGACAAAAAGAGTTTAAAACATATTTATTATTCCTTAATTTATTCATATTTAAACTATAACCTTATTGTATGGGGGAACGTTCCCCCATCTTCTTTAAATAAAATTCACCGTTTGCAAAAACAATTTATAAGAATATATGATACAAATTGTAAATTAAGAGATCACACAGCACCATTCTTCAAAAATGCTAACATTCTTAATATATTTCAAATTTTTAAAGTCAGTATCCTGACATATCTTTTCAAATGTATCAAAGGCACTGACCCAACATCCAAAAACCAATTCAGTTATTACTTCACTCCAAACAATATTATTCATAGACATGAGACTAGACAACAATTCAAACTCAGATCAGCAACTTTTAGAACAAACATTGGCAAATATTCCATCAGTAAGCAGGGACCAGATTTATGGAATATATTACCTGATGAAGTTACTAAGTGCAACTCTATACCTCTTTTCAAGAAAAAGATCAAGTCATTTTTGATCAATCAATGATAACAATCTCCAATTAGCTATTCACTTATGCTGTCTACCTAGTAGCTATTGTTATCGTTCTTTCTTTTTCTGCTCATTGTTTTTATTCCATCATCTAATTGGCAAAGCCAACATATATCATCGCCTATCATTTTTCAAAGCACTTAACCTTATTCGAATATACTGCTCAGAGACTGTAACTGGCAACCCAGTTTACTTTCCATATTGTTAAGACCATGCTGACGGGTGGGGGATGGGGGTGGGGAGTGCGAGGCTGGAGATACATAATTTACACAACACTGCTTGTCATGTTCATCTTCTCTGTGCGGATAATATGCCCGTTAGGGTGTCATCCGCCTTATCTGTATGTTTCACCAGATGTTTGAAAATAAATAAATGAAAATGAAAATGAAATGAACATGAAAGAAATCAAAGTGGAACAAAGAATACTACAAGATATTTTCACTATTATTGACCTTTAGCATCTACCATATGCACAGTACAGTCTAGATATGGCTCCGAGTGATTTTCTTCCTCTTCTCGAAGTTGAAAGGAGGGGTGAAAGAAAATGTTTTTTTACTCATTGGATGAGGTTTAGAGTGGCACTCCAACAGCATTTGTATCACATAAGGAATGGCGGTTTCATAAATGTCTTCCATTCATTGGCAAAGCGGTATGAAAGATGGGTTCAAATTCGTGGAAAATATGTTGAAAAGTAGGTCTTAATATGTGAAGATGATGATGGCAGATGCCACTCAGATATAAAATCGGAAATTCTCTCATATCACGACTGGTGTTAGGTTGTGTACCTACACCTAAAGCATTTGCCATATTATAACAGTTGTGACGTGATTTGCTATATTTAAATACCGTTCCGGGTGGCAGGGACCCAGTGTTAAAAAATCTTCACCAAAAGCTAAAATATACTATTTTCTGTTGAAACTTATACACAAAGTTGTTAAGATGTTGATCTAAATATTATCTGAAAGTTTCGTGCAATTATATTAGAAAATAGCAATTTAGAGCAGGGCATCCAAGACTTTTGGAACAGCCCTCGTATTTTAGTTTTCGTGCGAGATTTTTTATATTTTTTTATTGAGGATTTTAGGGAGCACATAGAAATATTGAAGGAGTATTTTAGTGTTATGGAGGTGCTTCCCCTGTGAGATTTCAATGCACATACCTCATTTTGGACCCAGGATGACTAGAAGGACTGTTTTTAGAAGGTGTCGAGATGAGAGGTTTCCTGTCTGCCACACCACCCTCTGTTTTGAATCTGTAGAATTTATTTGAACTATCCTCAAATAGTTTTGCAGAATGACTATTAATGGATTCAAACACTTTGCTGTCCATAATCAACTGACATAACTGAAATATCAAAAGAAATATTTTATTACAATATCATCAAAACTTTTTTCCGGAACACAAAGTTAACTTACTGGGAAAATAGCCTTATGTTTGGAATAAATAGAGGAATTAAATATGGGTACAATTGCAATATCATTACCAAAGCCAAAGGCCAATATAATATTTCTAGAGGCCCCAATCCCCAACAAGGAGTTTAATGTCATGTACATGTACTAGAAATAACCAATACTTTAACTCAACATTTATTATGTTTTGAAATTAAACCCGATGTCATAAACTTTAGGCTGCGATAGGTGGTAAATGGGAACCAAACCTTTTCCGAAAATATCAGGCATGTAGCTTAAGGGTAGGGGGTTCAAGTGAATCCCCCTGGCAAATCATGCAGTTTTTCACCATTCTGAGCACTTTTCCAGTGATTTTGCTCAAATTTAGGTAGATTTGTCAAAAGTGAACCCCCCTTAATAAATCCTGGCTATGGGCCTGAATATTATAATATATATTGGTCAAATATGCTGTATATCTAGATTTTATCGAAAAACAAATTTAGCAAATTGATAATCTATTAATATTATTTTAAAACCTTGTCCATCACTGGGTTAACAAAATTATTGACATTGTACAGATTCATGCCATTAAATTTAACAATTCAACTTTTATTTAAAAGTATACGAAATGTATCTCCCATTGAAACATTTATAAATTATGCAACTATAGAAAAATAACTTTCACAGTTTTATCATTTTATCAGATTATAATTTTATTTTTATTTACATTGTACATGTATTTAGCAAGATTCAGATGCAGGTGTTTCCTGTTTTAATATTTATGATTATATTTGGCTATGAACTTCCCTTAAGCATAAGTCTAAATATTTAATTTACCTGAATGACTATCAAATCACAAAGCAGATGTTTTGTAAGAAGATGTTGAAAGCAGATGCTTTTCTTATATATTTCATTGATAAAACTAAAACTTTTGTGAATTTATTTAGATAACATTTTTCACATACCATGAGTTTCAAACTATGAAATATAGGTTTTCAAACTTTGAATTATGGGTTTTAAGACTTTGCATTGTGAGGTTTTTAAGTCAAACTTTAATTATTAACTACATGTACTCAAAATCTGAAATCTGGGAACCCTGAATTATGGGTTTTCAAGTACCGAATCAAGGGTTTTCACATGAAAACTCACCTTCACAGCCTTTGCTCTGGATATGTCTTTACGAAAGTTAACATTATCGAGTAAGAGATGGTGCAAAATTACATCAACTGCATCAGAACCAGTAAAACATTGGTCATATTGTTTCAATCGTATACGCTTCCGTTTACACGACACGTGCAATTTCAAGTGGCCAATGATCTCCTTCCATAATTGCGTAGCTTTAAAGGGTCCTCCTGAAAAATAGTTTAAAAGGTGTGAATACTTCAACAATGGGATTTATCTTAAGTGTGAGAAGGGTTTCTGTGTAGTAAAGTTGTAAACAGTAGCAATCTAATATCATATGTATACAGTATAGTTAATTACATGCAACAATCTGAAGTGTTAAAAGGATTTTAAATTGTTAAAGTCCCTCCCCCAGTTTGTAACAACATGGGCTTTCAACTAGTAATTGAAAGCCCATGGTAACAATAAACATGAAATGTCACATATTCCAACTTGAGCTCATACAAGGGATTTATTCTCAGCTTTTATAATGACAAACCAACTCCTCATTTCTAATCCAACCATAGTGTTTTTAACTTGGCAATAAATCTATTCATGACTTTTCAAATGATTTTTTCCAAGAAATGTGACCACCCCCCCCCCCCCCCATCAACTGAACCAATGACCCCACCAGGAGTACATGTAGATATCAGTAGGAGAGTACAAATTGCTGAATATAACTGTCACTTTCACTATCCTATTATTTAACTGTCCTGTTGATTGTTAATTGTCCTGTTGATGACATGCTGGGAAAAACATTGCATGTCAGTTATCTAATCAATTCCTAGCACAAACAACATGCCATTATTAAGCTTCTTAACCACTTTCATTACATCGTTTATAATCATTTTCTGATATACACAAAATCATAGCAGGGCTCTCACCAGGAAACATTTAGGGTGTCAGGGGTTTCATAAGCAGCAGGCAACAGGCAATTTTCACTGGTTGTTTTCACAAAATCGCCTGTTGTTTTTAGGGACTTTTCAACTTTTCCATGTTAAATTTATGATTTCTATTAATTCTGCCTGTTGTTTTCATTTATCCTGTTGTGAGAAATTCTAGGGGAACCCCTTGGGTTGGGTGTGGTGGAAACATCTTCAGAAAAAAACTGTTGAATTATTATGAATCATATTTAATTATATTTTATCCTTTTTACATACTTTTATTATGTATTCAGTCAAGACTGTGGAAACAATCATGATTTGCCAATAGATTGTGGCGGGAGCTAAAAGAATGATGTGGTGCTGCACCACAGTCTAAAAGCCTAGCAAGAGCCCTGCGTAGTAGTTTAGCATGTTTGTGCTGGGCCTTAGTGCAGAAGAATGGGGGAAAAACACAATATTTAGAATAAAAACCCACACATAAGACCATTAATTATTCATTATATTTAGAAGTCACATAAACTGACTGTAAAGTGTAAACCTTCAAGAAATCTTATTACCGGAACGATTAAGGGTGGCTGGTGTATGCCATAAAAGAATCATGGCTAATATCAACCTGCCAGACTTTGATGTAAAAAACATACACTGTAGTTAGCACGTGATATTTCAACATCATTCTTTTTATCTAACTTCATTTGGTTCTGGAGTTTTTGTTTTTTTCTCACAAAAGTTTTAAAAATAATATCGAAATTGAATGTTTACCATGTAATCAAAATCTCACCGAACTGAGGTTACATCTAGTTTCTTTAACCAGTTTTGAAATGTTCATAATGTACTCAGAAATACTTTCTGAGGTCGATGACGGACCAGGCCGATTTAGGGGATTGAAGTGAATGAACTGAGTCATGTGGACATCATTAATTCTATGAATATGCATTGAAACAATTAATTAATTAATTATTGTGTCTTTGATTTACAATAGGAATGATTTAATTTAGGATTAGATCATCTTCAAAATACTGATTCATTTAATATTGAAATATGAACATAAACAAGAAAATGCAGCAAACTCCTCGAGTCGAGATCTCCAAGTCAAAATTGCCTGGCATCAAGATAAAGAAAGATGTAAGGAGTATGCTTACATCGATAAAAACATCACAACAACGTGTTATATTCGTTAAACATGTGAAAATTTGCGCAAACGAAGGTGGTACGCAATTATCCCGTGCCAGGACTATAGTCCTGCGAACGTGTTATTCTTTTGCCTGTACGATTACAACATGGGAGAATTTTCTAAGCTTCTTACACTTAAGATACCTATTTCAATAGATTCCTTGGTATTTAAGCATGCTTTTCGTGTAGTTGAATGTACAATTGTCTGGGTTTATCGGCAGAACAAAGAAATTTTCGTTTTTAATCACAATATTTGCGTGTAATATTTAACTTATTTCAACCGTCAAATTCCTCCATTTATTGGTGCTTCCGGGCCACTTCCAGGTCAGTCAAACGGGGAATCCCCTTTTAAATCCAACCGCCATCTTGGAAATGGATGGAATATCTCTTGATGAAAAAGAAAAATGTTCCCGTTCTGCCGATATACCCAGACAATTGTGGATTCAACTACACGAAAATAATGCTAAAATACCCAGGAATCAATTGAAGTAGGTATCTTAAGTGTAAGGGGCGTAGATAATTCTCCCAAGTTGTAATTGTACAGGCAAAAGAATGCTCTCAATGCAGGACTATAGAGTCCTGGTACGGGATAAGTAGGGCGAAGGGGTGTAACGTCGACGCCATTTTGGGGTAACTTCGACATGTGGGGTAACTTCGACACCTTGTTGTTTATTTGCTCTAATTTCCGATCTAGGGGGAAGCCATGTTTTTTTTCTCGCATGGATCGAAATCTCGCGAGATTTTAATTTTTCCAGAAATCAAACATGGCGGAAAACGGAAATTCTACTTCTAATATGTAAGTGTCGGAGTTACCCCGTCTTTTATGTCGACATTACCCCACACGTCGACATTACACCCCATTGCCCTACGCAAGAGACGTAATATGTCAGTCATCGCTAAAGCTCTGGGGGTCTCTCCCCTCTTAGCAAACGTGATCAATGGTTCGATATCTCCCGCAAAGTAGTCACTACGCTCCTACTTTGCGCTGCCTTCGGCAAAGGAGACCTTGAAAAAAAGTCAGCAAAAAAATCAAGAAAATCGAAAATCAAGTTTGTGTTTTGAAAGAGATGTTGCGAATTCTCACGTTTCAGACACATATTTTTCTAATTGAAAGAAACGATAGTATTAGACCTTTGCAACTCACCTGGTGAAGGAGTATTCAATGCATTCTGAGCGACGTTAGGAAGACTTGTATACGGAGTAGAAACATTTCTTGCGGCCGCCATACTTTTAAACTTTTTATCCCGACAAGCCCTCTCAACTTCCGGTATGACGTCACATCCGTAAACAAAACTTGCAGCATTTTTCTATTTCGCAGGTTTCTCGAACTTTCTCTTCGATTTATTAACTGCCCTCATATTTAAAAGTGATATCAACAAAACAGAGGTGCACATGTAAGTATCTAGACCATTTCTAAGTTTTTTCCGTGTCCGTTTAATGTCCAATCAGTACGCAAATGTAAGCTGAAGTTAGGGTATATTTATGGCGTAATTCCATGATTGAATATTCACAGCTGATGGTTCAAGGTAAGGTTAGGTTTGTTGTGATAATTAGCATAAAAATATTTTTTTATGATGTTCCTGTAATCATATTTGTAGTTTGATACTTTTTTCACATCCTATGCAAGTTCCAATTACTTCAAACAAAAAGTTGAAAGCCAGTTGCCAGTTCAATCGAGGCTATTGTACACTCAGTCATTAGTGATTGGGTTGCAGATGGGGGGGGGGGGGTGCTCACTCAAATGCAGAAGTTAACATGATTGGAAAATTTGAACAGGAAAAACAGCGTATCATTTACAATTTTCAGATTGGTGTATATATACAGCTGTATCAGTCGCCAGACATGCTTCTACATATTCAATGGTTCTTTGATGGTTTTATGATAAATCCTGTTCAATGGACCATTGCATGGGGTTGAGTTTACCTCTTTCAAAGGCTGACTAATCTGATAGAACAGATTTAGATTTTGCACACCCCATATCACCCACTTCTCCAAATATTCCCGACATCTCCATTTGTGAAAGCAAACAGAGGATGGAGATGTGCAATGGCTGTTCTATCAAATCAGTCAGTCTTTGAAATAAGTAAGATAAAGTACAATACAAGTACCTACTTCATAATTAGTTTTTAATTAGAACCTATATATTTAATTATGCATTTTAGCAACAACTTAAAAACATTAAAAACTTTCAACTTACAGTCAGATTCAAAATTCTATTGAGTACTTTGAATTAAAAAAATAAGCAATTAAATGACCATATTGCAACAGTATATGGAAAAATAGAAACATTTATATTTATCCTAACTTTTATTTATTTCAGATAGTTATGTATAATGTGCAGCTAAGCTGTGGCCTTTTGTAATTTAGGAAGTTTCAGCCATGTTAATTTTTTACGAAAATAACATGGCAGAGAAGTATCAAAATATAAGGGGCCACATATATGATAGCCAAACTACAAAACAAATCAAAATATACAAAAGTAAGGCCATGTATGAATGTTTCTATTTTTCTTATACTGTTTCAATTTGGTCCTTTGATTGTTTTTTAGATTCAAAATACTCAATGTTTTTTTTTACTTTAATGTTTATTTTAAAGAAATTAAAAAATCCTGAATGATTCCCTATCATTTGTTCACTGGTGCCTACACTGGTAATTTATTAAAGCCATGGTATAGCACATGATGTGTTATGCTGTGCCAATTGCTAATTGTGTTTGCATCCTATGGTTTACTTTACAGCCAAAATTAGGACAATTCAATATAATAGACCTTCACACACCAGGATGTTTTTTATAATTGTTTTAGTTAGACCTGCATCCTTTTGGAAACCATTTATTAGTTGTTGGCAGCTTGCCTCTTTCAAGTCAAGTCTTTCTGAGAACTGTTTAATATTAGAAGGTACATGTATGGTAATTGTATCTATTTAAATTGCTAATGCAGCAGGCTGAGATTTTCATTTTAAATGAACTGAAGAGAAAAGTTTCATAAAATACATTTTTTAAGGATTATAAACATAATACACACATATGTATTATGTAGAAGTAATATGTTTAGTTATAACTGTTATTTCAGTTCATATACCCTGATATGGCAAGCAAGGACAATGACGATGGATTAGATGACTCGATGAATGGTGCAGAATTCCCGCTACAGGGCCCTGATGATTCAACACTGAACTCATCTGGTGGATCGAGTGGTCTTGCCTCATCCAATGACAGCACATCAATGCCAACTAAACGCATGAAACCAACACCACCCAGTCCAGCAAAGGCATTCATGGTCGCAGGTACATGTTATTTTTACTGCAGTTTCATAGCTTACCATGAAGTACATGTACTTCTGTATTGTTAAAACAGGTGCCTCGCGTCTGAAAAGTCCTCGCCCCTTGGGCATCCATGACTATTTTTTTGCAGTTGGAAATTGACTTGGTGGTTCCTTATCCTTAATACTAAAAGAGTTTTCTGATATTTTTTCATTTTTTATTTTGATTTAAAATCCATGCTCTGTTCGATACAACTATTTTGTGATTTGATCAAAGGATGTAGTTATGCTATATGTACATGCACTGGTGGAACTGGGGGGGCTGGGGGCCCAGCCCCCCCCCCCCCCTTGGGTGGGCCCAAAAAGATTTTGGGCCAAAAATACCTTAAGGCCTTAAAAGTGGGCCTTTCCGGTCATTACTGAGCCTTATAAGGCCTTACTTTTTAATTTCAGGCCAAATTTTGAAGAAAACGGGTCTCTAAATTTGGGCCCACTTTTGGGTTTTAGGGGCCCAAAATTTTTTTCGGAAGTTTTTTTCGCAATGTACATCGGTAATGTAATTTGGATTTTAAATATCCATAGAAAATTATAGAAAAATCAGATTCTATGCTTAGAAATACTTGACTTTTTCATCACTTTAATCTTATGTTTACCATCTTATAGTTTTCATTTCATTTTTCAGCATCGCCTCCACAGTTTGTGTCATTTGATCAATTGATGTCCGCAGCCAATGGGGTAACAAACATGGCTCTTGCACATGAGATAGCTGTCGATAATAATTTCAAATTGGAAAAATTTGAACCAGATTCTAACAGGTAATTCATTATACATGTATATGTATTAATTGGTATCTCATCATTTGTGTCCTAAAAACACAAGAGCAAACATTTAAATATCACAAATGTATCAGTTTATCAGAAAGAAAACATTTAAATCATCCAATCTTCTTGTAAAATTTGATTGAGAAACAGAATTTGATGCACCTCCCATTCGCCTTGTATGACCGATATTCATCTACCACAAGTGGTGACATATTGTAATAGTCTCCAACTTTTTTTGAATGGCTGTTGGTGGTTGGCATTTGGCGTTTAGCATCTGTAACAAATGGCAGATGAAATGACTTTTTTGATTTTAATGCCTTGTTTGATATGCAATTTAGAATGTGAACTACATATCTGTAAACTACATGCCTGTTTACTTTATTCCTTGCTGATACTAATCTTTTACCTAATTTTCCATATTAAAATGTGAATGTCACAATATTTATTTTTGAATTATTTCGTATTTTGGCAGTATTGAGAAACAAGTAAAGGAGGTAATGCACAAGGCATTTTGGGATAGCTTGAGTGAGAAATTGAGTGCTGAGCCGCCAGATTACTCTCACGCAGTAGTTCTCCTTGAGGAAGTGAAACAGGTTAGTATGTTAGCAAAATTATGGGATATAGTACACTAAGAAAATATTTACGCATACCTTTTACATATTTTTATGTACACAAGTTGCGGTCAGTGGCCGGTGTTTGGCATCTGTATCAAATGGCAGGTAGTGAAACAGGTAAGTATGTGAGTAAAATTATGGGATATAGTATACTAAAAAAGTAACCATCTGGTATTTATGCACACTTTTTACATATTTTTATGTCACCACCACAAGTTGCTGTCAGTGGTCGGTGTTCGGCATCTGTATCAAATGGCAGGTGGTGACATTTTGCCAATTAATGCCTTGTTTATTTGTCATGGCGTTGTCTGTTACATTAATTTCCCAAATCTCAGAAATATTCTCTTTTTCTATAATAAAACCTGGCTCTTTTACAGATCAATTTAGATCAAAGGAATGGTATCGATATGGGGAAATGAATTGAACCTGGCTCTTTTTCAGATCAATTTAGATCAAAGGATTGGTATCGATATGGGGAAATGAATTGAACATATCATTTCTCTTTAAACCAGTCATCAAAACATTCTGAAAATTTTGCACATCGTCAATGTAATGATCATCTTTTGAATGGTTACAATTTAATTTGAAAAAATATATATACTTTTCTCTATATTCAGTATATTGTTTCAGAGAATACATCAGCCACTTCTATTGTTCTTGGTATCATATGTTTTGAATGAAATGAAACATCTAACCCAACCTCATTGGAACAAAATGACATAAACACAACATGTTTAGGTCTCTCAATATTGTAGTTGTACAAAGGAAAGTTTGGTTCATTTAAAAAAAGTATCTTGTCAATGAAATAAAAGGTTTACTTTAATTTATCTATTTTTAGGGTTTTTTCTTTTAATTTTTGAATACTTTTTGTTAAATTAACATTATTTGTTTCAAGTTGTTACCGAGGCGATGTATTTTGACGTCACGCATGATCGCATTATATTCCTAGAATCAATAAGAAAAAAGCAAACTTCCAAAACATGATGTCATTAACATCAGGGCTTGTTCACTTGAGGGAAAAGTGAAACATAGAAGCAAGAAAAGAAATTTATGATTTCTGTTTTTTCTTGTAAAAAATGTTTACAAAAACAGTTAAAATATGTATAAATGATTTTCACATTAAATTGTTGTCAATCAGTGACCATTACATAAAGGACCATGTTTATTACAGAATGTTTTCAATAATTTGTTCAAAAGAAAAACAATGTTGTTGCATATCGATACCAATCCTTTAAATTGCACGTTACATGGCATGTGACTCAGTCAAATCATAATGCATCCTTTTTAGGATGCATAAATTTAAGTTCACATATGTAAACATTCTGAAACTGCACAAGCCTCTCATTCTATTTTAACAAATAGTCTGAAAACCATTGTATATCACTTCTTAAAAAAGTGATATTCAATGATTTCGATTTTCTCAAAGTTTTTTATTAAAGACCCACTATGCATATTTTCAAAATTCTTTAGCAAAATAGACTTGCTTTTGGACTTCATAGTATTTCCAATGGATTGATAAATATTTTATCTCTCATTGGACGCCAAAAACAGCTCAAACGGGCAACATCAAAGCTTACAATAAATTATCAAAAACTATTCAGAAATATTTCCCAAGAAATAAAACGCAAAACAGGTTTGAGACAAATTATTACCTTGTATTTTGATTTATTGTTATATGAAGGAAATAAGAAATAAATAAAAAATAAAAAATTGTATACATGTCTTAGAAATGCAATTAACCCTCCACATGCTACCTGTGCTCCCTCTTTAACCCTCCAGATGCTGCTTGAGGTTCTCCTCCCCCAACACACAAGATTACGAACTCTCATCAACGAGGTCCTGGACATGGAGCTCATTAAACAGAAAATAGCAAACAACGCCCTGGACTTCCATTATTACGCAGAGTTCGTCATCGGGATCATGGCTCAGTTATGTGCACCTGCTCGGGATGATAGTATCAGAGAACTCAAAGATCAAAAGGAAATAGTGCCATTATTCAGGTAAGGGAATATTTCATTTCATTTCGTTTGCGTTGCAATTATCTCGCACAGACACCATAGGGCATATATGTATAGTAGGATAATGTAACTTGATATCTTAAGGTAGAAACACCGCCTGGTATTAATCTCACAGTAACTGATATCCTTATCCTGGCTAGGACCACAGACAGTTCTAGCTATCACAGACATTTACACTTATACAGCACCTTTCCTCCCATATCCCTTCCCCATCCCTTTCCCACCCCATCCCCATCCCTCCCCATCTCTCCCCATCCCTATATACATATCAACCATGTTGAAGCTGTGCCCAGCCTAGACATAAGCTCTGACTAGACCCTAGTCGAGCTCCAGGACACCTCATAAAACAATCATTGGTATACTGAGTTGTAGGCCCTGTAAATCACCCTCCCCAATGGACACCCCAATCCCAGACACGAGCAGTGTCAGGCCAAAAGACAAGGTTGGTTTTACCCAGCCACTGATCTGACATACAAGCATGTCTAAGCTCTGCCCAGCCTAGACATAAGCTCTGACTAGACCCTAGTCAAGCTCCAGTACACGTCATAAAACAATCATTGGTGTACTGAGTTGTAGCCCTGTATGTCAACCTCCCCAATGGACACCCCTATCCATCTTATACTTTACAAATACAACTTACAAATATTTTGGTACTATTATGTCACCACCACATGTCACCACAAGAAGTGTTGGTGACATATTGTTATAGTTTGGTGGTTGGTGTTCTTCATTCATCAGCATCTGTAACAAATGGCAAGTGGTAACATTTTGCATGGTAATGCCTTGTTTGTATTTGATTTTTGTCGCCATTTCTCATCCGTTACCATATCCATATTGAAATGATCTGATATCTTCATATGCTGTATCATTGACCAATTTATTTGCTGTACAATATCATATGTGTTTTATAATATATAAAATAAAACAATTTACAGTATTATAGATGTCGCTTATGGTGTTTAAATCAAAATAGATGTTAATTCATAATAGATGTCACTTGTGTATTCCAGGGAGATGTTTGCAATACTCGAGTTGATGAAACGAGACATGGCAAATTACACAATACAGCAGATGAGGCCTTATATCCAATCTCAGTCTGTTGAATATGAGAAACAAAAATTTACAGACTTTCTTAAAGCGCAACAAGGTTTTTATATTTTTTATGAATTTTTAATTTTGAAAAGATAAACCTTAGGAGGGAGGTAAGCACCCATAATGCATGGCTCCCATCTTCATTGTAGATACACATGTAGATAAGATCAAAGTATGATAGGTACTTATTCCCTCCTCCGTAACATAGCTTACAATAAGTCTAACCCCTCCCTTTGATGTTGTAACATGAAGATTCTATGTCCTTAAAACTTAGTTTAAATAGTGCACTGAACTATGTGTCTCATGCTTACCCTTATGCAGGTAGGTGGTTGGAGGGGGTAGGGTTGGTATCAAATTGATTTTGTAACTTCCGATCACATGTAGATAGGATCTCATATTGCATTACTTTCACTCCAAGTATTGTATTACTTTTGTTGTAATGAAATGAAAATCTTAACGTAATAACGATATATTGTTATACAATTTTGTAGATGTTGGAGTCGATGGTCTTGAATTAACAAAGGAATGGCTTGAGCGAAGCAAATCTCGTCTTGAATCTTTAAATAAAGATGTCCCAGCATCCTCCAGTATAACCATGGTTACACCGGCATCCATATTGAATCAGGCTTACATGGAGATATTCAGTTGGGACAATGAAAGGCTCTATCCAGAGGTAAAGCCTCAGTCACATTTGCTCTATGGCGGGCATACGGTGGCCATAGCTTATTGTACTGCTTATCCCTATGTTAAATGCTTGATATTTCTCTCGATTTGGGGAAGCTACGACCACCGTATGGTTGCTGTAAATCGATGTGACTGACGCATAACTGGTTGTCTTTAAAGTTGGTTATTAAATTCTACACAGAATCTGTTTCATTCAGGGACAATCCAAGTGTCCTGAACAAAAAATAAATTAATTTTGTAAGGGGGAGGGTGGCAATGATGATTTCAATTGCATGATGTTCACATTTTGATTCAAGGGAAAAGCTTAAATAAGCAAGTTTCATAAATCATTATGAAATTCAACTTCATTTTTCCCTAACTGGCAATATATGGACACAATCGTGCTGGACCACTGGTAAGAAATCTATGAAATGGTACCTTAGAATTTCTTATTCTGAATTTTGTTTTTTCAAAGGCAATGTTCAGGAAATGATGCACCACATTTAATCCAATTATCCCTCCTACCCTTCAAACATGCTCCCAACAATAGTACTTGGGCTCACATATTGGGTTAGGATTTTGAGTTGTGCAAATGTTTAAGCGAGTATTTTGAACCAGGCATGATTATTTCAACTTTCATCTTGGTGTGATTAAATTTTCAAATTCTCATAACTAGGAACTTGGTTGCTCACTGACTATAGTACAACATTAAATCGAGTAGAAATTATGATTTCAGACTTTAGTAATGGACCAATCAAGATTTGAAGATCTCCGAGAGAAAACTGACCAGATATGTTTGGTGTCGGCCATTCTTCTCATCACATACAATACAGTGGGGCCATCTATTAGTGGAATCTCAGAACTAAAATCAACATTAACTGACCAGATCTCAATTTTGTTGGAATCAGCAGAAAGGTAATTTTATCAAAACCCAAATAATTATCAGTTTTTGGAGGTGAAGAATTACCTGGAACAAGTTTTTTCCGATATATGCCCATTGCTCAATCATGTGATAATTGTTTGATGACTTTGAGCATTCCAAGGGCCTAACTGACTGAAAGATGGCATAAACTGACATATTTATTCAAAAATACTGTACTGTACGTAATCTCATATTTGTAAATAAAATAGAATCATACTATTACAACACCCAGGGGTGAAAAAGGTCATATTGTAACGATAAGAATTTTAAAGTCAATAAGTAGCTCATTGTAGTGGCCTAAAATGCAATATTATTTTTCAAAGCTGTTGTATTTTTTGAGCCACACTAAACAACAGTGTTCATTACATTTAATAATAATGATATTAATTTAAAATCCAATTTTCAACTCATTTTCATAAATATTAGAATTTACTAAGGCTACATTTGTTTCACGGGTTGTGATGCCAAGAGACATAATTACCTTGTAACCTTATTGTCCGTGTCTAGCTTGATAGCGGATCTCTCACAACCGAGTTGCATTTTAGCAATTTTTGTTAACGGTCATAAAACAACAGGTGTAGCAAACATTGACTGAAAAGATGACAAATATTTCTCCATGTCTGACCATCAAACTCAAAAGTTACGAGTCAAGACTATCTGCATTCGTGTGTATGCACATCACATAGGGGAGAAGTAGTCGCGATACCACAAAACATCCGGGGTCTAAAAATTACCTGGTGAGAACCTTGTGTTTAGTGTGGCTCAAAAATACATCAGCTTTGAAAATAATATTGCATTTTAGGCCACTTAATGCCCTGGTGATAGACTATGATGCCATGCGCCATGACATAAATCAAATATTCAAATATACTGGATTAAAACATAAAACATGAGCGATAATACCTAGGCAAAATTATTTATATTTTAATCCAGTATATTTGAATATTTGATTTATGTCATGGCGCATGGCATCATAGTCTATCGCTCATGTATGGTCAGATGTGGCTTGAAAGTGGTCACATTTAGAAAAAGTGCTCGGTTCGATGACCATGTAATAAATTGTATTGCTTTGTAACCACGTTAACTAAACATTCCACCTTGAGCATTTTTACTCAATTGTTTTGAAAAGAAGCTTTAAGAAAATTGAATTTAGATTACTTGGAAAATTGACAACAATGATTAAAACTACATTTGCTCAGCCCAACTCCATAAAACATGCTACACTTTTGTTTGTGACCAAATGTTACATTATTTTGAAAAATTTCAGCCCTGATGTTATGACGAACATTGCTGACCAAGTAGCTTTAGAGGTTGGAAAATCACTAGAAAAACATGGGTTTCAAAAAATGACTGAAGAGAAAGAAAATCATCTAAAAGCACAAGTGAAGGAGGTCGCGTCTCTGGAGCATGCAGTTCACAAACTTTTACGTAAGTGATTCTTATAATATTCCAATTGGACAATTTGACTTTGTATCTCCAGGGTGGGCCAAAAAAAACAATACCAAACTTTAAATCAGAATAAAAATGGCTATGTTCAATATGATACATTGATTTATATATCATTTTAAAGGTAATCCATTTTCGAACAATTTGGTATATAACACTATGTCGTAAAATCAATAGTAAAGTTTTAATTATTATACTTATTTGGGAGGCCGGGTTGGTTTCATTGCCCATAGCTTTTGAGATAACTTCTTGGACATTTGACAGGACAGAATTAAGAGATGGATAAATCCCTCGGAGTCAGAATTTATTCAATTCAAGGTTCTTGAGTGTATTGAATGATTTTGATAAGAGCCATCTATAGGAATTGAATACAACTAGGCTATGGTATGGGAATTTTTACATTTTGACCCTGGTCTACAAGTGATAAAAAAATGAATATAAAATTTTGAACTTCAAATTTTCCACCAATTAAAAATAGCCACACTTTTTATATACTATTAGATATTTAACAAAATTAACCCTATTAGGGGGAGAGTAGGCCATCAAATCTCAGTCATGTCTTTGATATGGCATCTCCTTAACAATTAAGTAACTTTAAATAAATTTATTTGAGTTCAAAATAAATGCTATCACTAGAGATATTAAGCTATTGATGACTGCTGACCTATACTGGCGATTACTAGAGTGCTGCTAACTCGATAAAAGGCTGGCGCTGGCTAGAATTGTCTATGGTTCTAGCCAGGATAAAGATACCAGTTCTTCAACTCGACAATGGGAAGAATTGCTCTACCTTAGTGACTAATATGTCATGATATGACATCTAAAGAGTCAATAAAAGATATATATCTTGATTAATTGACGGATAAAAAATATCAAATGAATTGGAAGATCTTTTTATATTTTATGCACAGCGGGTTGCTCATACTGACATTTGAACATGACGTAAATGACCGTCATTTATAAGGTCGAGTTTGATTTAATAGCTTATAGAGACTTATATCAATGAAACAGTAAAAACCTTGGATTTTTCACTACAGGATCACAGAAGCCGTTTTATTTTTAGTTATAACTGTTTTCTAACCTGTAAGAATTATGGAGTTACATGTGACTTTCATTGTCACGTGGGCGTCTTGTTGATTCTGCAACTGCGCATGTTGAAACTGGAAAATGTCTCAGGCTAGCTGTATGAATACTTTTTGGCTCACACAGTGAACCCATGGAATGGACTAGGCATCCGCCAGTCCGTCCGTCTGTCCGTCCGTCTGTCAAAAGGTCTGTCCATCGATCAAGATTGGTGGCACAAAAAGCTCTTGAAATTACAGTTTTCGGTGTTTACTTTATAATATTTGACAAAAATAGGACAATTTCAGGGAACTTTCTCATGTATAAAGTCAGAGGCAGGTTTTGTGATTGAACATTGTTTTAAAGCAACTAAGTAACTGAGTAACTAACTCAATAACTTAATACCTTAGTCTAAGTCTAGTAAAAGTTAATCCTTTCCAAAACATAATGTGTTTACAATATTCACCGTGTGAGCACAGGGCCTTGGGTCCTTTATCAACTTGATCAACGCAGATTTTTTTATTCATTTTGAGAAAAATTGGGTATTCATTATCTTGAAATAATTATAAAGATATTTTGAAAACCTGTTTTCCTGATTGGGACCTTGTTAGGAGTTTACATATAGATATATAAAAAAATTGAGATATACAGGTTGGGCCAAAAAAACACTACCCAAGTTTAAGGATGAATATCATATCTGTCTAAGATTTAGACAATTAATTATTAGTTGTTGTCATTATGTTATGATTATCATAATTTTCAAGTAGCAATGAACCTAAACCTTCAAAAATGATTATAAATAGACCAGTTCATTTCTATTTTTGTAATTTTTTTGTCAGTATAACACAATTTCAAATATTTAACCATACTCATTATTTTTGTGTCACTCTGTATTCTCTTACCTTTAAATATATATTTATTTCGTTCAATACCAATTGATATAACATGCGATATAACATTTACCAATATATGTCAATTGTTTTTGACAAGTAGACCCAATAATTTCTGTGTTTGAGGTATTGGTAACCTTATTTGTTCTTACTGATTGATTGAACTTACATATTTTGATGTGTTTCCTTACAATGTAAACACATATTTGATTTATTGTCTGATGGATTAAGGAATGACTCTGTCATACATGAGTGGTATAGTGGTATTGTCACACTTTATACATTGGTTCTGTATATTTTATGCGAGGGCTTTGTCACATTTTACGCGAAAGTGTGTGAAGGCCTTGTCACATTTCATGCGAGGGTCGTATGATGGCCTTGTCACATTTTATGCATTGGTATCATGATGGCATGTCACATTTATGCGAGTATGGTGTGAAAACATTGTCACATTTCATACGAGGGTGGTGTGACGGCCTTGTCACATTTTATGCATTTGTATCATGATGGCATGTCACATTTATGCGAGTATGGTGTGAAAACATTGTCACATTTCATGCAAGGGTGATATGAAGGGCTGTCACATTTAACTATCGGTGTCAAGGGATGTGATAGATTTATTGATACAGAAATGTTGTGGGAGTAATCCGATTTATTACCTGTTGAGAAAATATCAAGTTCAAAAAAAGAAATCACATCTGTAGACCGAGCCTTCAAAAAACAATAATTGAGTATAACATGAGCGCTTTGTGTGGAGCCTACGATTATTTTTTAATTTGAATTTGTGGTATGTTTTTTGAGTCGTATCCGGTCTTCAATTTCATCAATATTATATAAAGTTAAAACATAAAAGAAATTGAGAAATAGTTGTGTTACTCATTCTATAGAGGCAGAATACGCATTACATTTTTTAAATTTTCATTTTTTCATATAAATACATTGTTCTCAGCTTTCACATGTTGGAAATCAATTTTTGGGGATTTGAACCAACCTTATCACAAGGTGCAGATACGATTTAATAAACAGGAATGTTTACAATCAGGTTCTGTAGTTTGAGTGAACTTGAATCCAGTCAAGATTTTGTCACACCAATCCTAAAATAGCTCCTACAGCCACGTACTATTTTTTTCATGGCCTGAGTTCGTCGCTTACATGCTAAATATAAGAGTTAGCTAACGTTTGGGAGTCTGACTTACCTTCTAAAGGTTAGAACCCGAATCTTAATGAAACCATATCACCTTTGTTCCGTCAACCATGGAGCATTTGCCACAACATCCAAGAGGTAAATCATGGACCGTGAAAATGAATGATTTCCTTGTAAGTTCCGGAAGTTTCAATACGAAAAATTACCGAACATATGTGAAAACCGAATATTTGTTCGTTGTTTTCACGATTTACAGGTTCGTTTGTTCTTCAATGTTTTGGTCTAAATTATAAAGCATCACCAACAGGTCTTACTCTATTAATCGACTAATACAGCAGACGGCTCATATTTCTACGTAGCATTTCGTTCAGACCAATAGTGGGAGTGTAGATCACGCAGTTACGTTCGTTGCGTACTTCACTTGAAATTGGTAATTTTAAATATTGGCTACTTCACTTAGCTTGGCGGATGTAGAACATTGCTTAATATTCTTTTAATTTTCACACCAGACATGCTTGGTTGACACGTCAACAAAGTAAAGTTCAAGGGTCAATGCGTTATTTCGTGATAACTACAGCGCCTTCCCGGAAGTCAACATTGATGAAAAATGAAAAAGTCGGAAAAGCATTTACACTAATTTCTATCAAATGCTGTGTTTATGCATCATCATCGATGCAACAATGGTGATATGGTTTCATTAAGAATCAGGTTCTAACCTTTAGAAGGTAAGTCAGACTCCCAAACGTCAGCTAACTTTTATATTTAGCATGTTAGCGACGAACACAGGCCATGAAAAAAATAGTAAGTCATCTATTGATATGATATGTGGCAGAGAGGTTTAGTGCATACTGCCTCTCTATAGGTAATGAATAATTCAAATTAAAAAGGTTTATGGCTTGTACAGAGCTCTCATTTATCTTCAACAAGTGTTTTTGCAGACTTATGTTGCATAGCGGTGTCTTACCTCTCATGTATATTGTTTCCAAGAAATGAACAACCATTTTATGTTATTTTTATTTATTTATTTGCATCTTGGCTCTCAACAAATCACATCCATTTCAAACTAATTTACAAAAGTTTTTAAAAACACACAGTACAAGAATGTTAGTATTATCATGGTCATTGATTTACAATATTTGAAATTTTCTCACCAAAGTATATCTCTAATCATTCGCGAAATGTGTATAAGACAAATAATTGTTTTTCATGAAAATTATTGGCAGCCTGTGACCCGAGAATAAATGCGATATGTAATGTAGATTCCCTTGCAAAATTTCATGTTTGAGTATTTAAAATAGAGTGGAAAAGGGTGGAAACAACAAGAAATAGAGGCAAAATAGAGGCATGTTTATTTCTTTCAATCTTAAGTAAAGAAATGGAAAAAATATCTGGCGATTCATTCTTGATAGATGGTTGGGTCCATGGATTCAGCGTAACCTTGAGAAATTTAAATGTCATCTTCTCAATAGATAGATAGATTCTTTGGTCTCTGTAGGGGGGTGACATTCCCTCACTGTAACAATTACTCAAGGATAGATTATTGAACTCTCTTAACAGGGCAACTACTTGTTAATTGTCACAAATCATTTTTATTGTCTATGGCTCTATAAGTGCCAATTGCATGTCTATTATCAACTTTCAAGATATATCGATACAGCTATAAAATATTTTTTAGGGCTATCACATAATCGTTTACACCCCTTCATTCCTGGCAAATGTTCTCATGTTTTAGAAAATGAATAAATCAAACAATGAAATACAATATAATTGAAAGCCCTTTATTGAATCACATGGCTTTTCGCACGTGAACTGTTACTTGAACACCCCTATGTCAATACAAATACAGTAGAATCTGTGTAAGTGGAACACCCTTTGAACCACAAAAA